TACATGATTTTGTTTTAATAAATCACTGTTTAGTAGATATATTCCCAGAGAAAGCATGCATGCATTCATTTATATGATTATTATTATTGCCATTTATATAGCGCCAACAGATTCCGCAGCACTTTACAATTTTATGGGGGGGGGGTGTAACTTTAAATAGGACAATTACAAAAAAACTTACAGGAACAATAGGTTGAAGAGGACACTGCTCAAACGAGCTTAGTTATGTTGGCATTGGGGGAATATCTAAAAAAAAAGCTTCTGACTGTAGTTTTTGTAAGCCATTACTTTATTTTCCCAGCATAGACTTTCATTGAGAAGCCTCGGATTCTGGGCCACAGCCATATTCACTTCCAGGTGAACGTGTGCGGCGAAGGAGGTGAGGAGTATGATGTTGCAAGGAGGAGGATGCATGAACTGGGAACAATGAGGTTGACTGAGTCCTGTGGACGCACACACACAGGCAAACGCACTCACTGCCTTAAGAGAGGCAATGGCAGGCATGCCCTAGCAGAGTGTGTTTGCTACTTCAGTTATCTACACTGAATGGAACTAGTAGAAGGAGGAAGAAAAGAAACAGACACTTTTATAAAGTGCATTTAAATGGGAAACTCCTTACCCTAGCACTAGGTCATGCAGCATGATTTAAAAATGGAAACAAGCTGTGTATACTTGTTAGTAGGATCTTTGTTGTTTACTCTTTATTTACAGTTCTCTATCATCCTAAATGCTACTCTAATGAATGTAAATCAGGGGTTGCATTAATAAAATGGCTGGATACAATGCCCTCTGTACTTTATATAGTATGTATAAAATTTCCAAGAAGTATTCATTACAAAATGTAACAATTTTTTACTGCCTGTTAAAAACAGCTGATGAAATATTACAGCCTATTAATTACTGCATTACACATTTTATAAATGCCACAAAAGTGTTACATTTAATTTCAGCTGATATCCAAACATTGACCATTGAATTTCAATGGATTCAAGCAGACCATCATCACTACATGATATATTCGTGCACAATTTTAAGCATGCTGTAGTGGTTTTGGTGATCTTCCCATTGTAAGTAGTCAAGCGTTCAGCTGATTACTCCGAGTCAATGAACTAAGCCCTGGCATTAGTAGTGAAGGTAGAGAATAGGGTCAGATGAAGGTTGCCCAGAGCGCACAGCAGGGTGCCAGATTGGCTGAGTGTGTCTGCTTTATGCACTGTTTGAATATTGTGTGGTTGAATTCTATTTATGTCTGTATGTAGGGGAGTCTAAGTGTGACTGAGTATTGTGCGTATGTATGTTTCCACTTCCTGCTTACCTCCTCTGCCCCTTCCTGCTTACTTATCCTGGTAATCCTTTGGAGGGTGAGCAGGATTCCTGGAGGTGCAGTGCTGAGTGAGTTAGATCCTTCTGGTGGTCCCGTGAGGGAGTTTCATCTTCTGCATCAATATAAGGTTCGGACCAAATTGAGTACCCTTATGGTTCTGGCACTCAGTCAATGAATCAGAACGCTAGCTGTGGTGCTCTGAGTAATGGCAGGGGATTGTGAGGGCACTCTTAAAGTGATCTGTACCTGGTATTGGTATAGACCACAACACTGTGAGACATGAGGAGACACAGGGCCGTACATGGACATCTTTTGATCTCCCTGCTGGCTTGAAGAGGGCCCACTCAGAGCAGAGGCTCCAGGCCAATGGATCTGCCTTGTGCCATGGTGGCCAATTTGGTCGCCTAATGGCAAATACGGCTCTGCTGGTGAACAGTTCTCAGTGGAAGACAGTTAAGAAGCATTCAAAACCTTTCTTCTCCTTACAATAGGGGGCACCAGGGCACTACTAGTATCATAACCACTACAGCAATGTGTTCCTTTAATCTCTCTAAGGTTGTGCATCTGTGTATTTGATACATTTTTTTTACAACCCCAATTACTTGTTCTTGTTTCTAGCTCACCGATGCTGTAGGGGGTGTTTGAGACAAGTGAATAGTCCAGGTAAGCATGGTAGAAGGCCAAGTGTGGTTACTGAGCAACATTAATAGATTAACTGAAAAACGCAAACGTGCATTAATTACACAGGCTGCTGCACACAGCAAAGGTGAAGGATCAGATTTCAAAAAAGCAATGTCACAATATCTGAAACGGGAAAACCGATGTGTGAATACATTAAAATTATTTCAATCAAACAAGCTTATTGCTTTTTTTTGTTGCTTATAAATATAAAGATATTTTTCTAACATCTTACTTATATATTTATGAGTTGTCATTCTCCCATTAAGAGAAACACACTAGGGAATATCTGTAATTCTAGGTATATAAATATTGCCATATCATTACCAGACTAAAAATTGGGATCATTTGAATTTACAAAGTTGTTAGTAATGCCCTCTGGAATAACATGATCAGAGAAGAAAATATAAACTCAATCATTTTCCACTTACAGGAAATGTTTGTTTGTGTTTACTATTCTTTCTGTCCATTTCTTCCAGGTTTTCATAAACCCTGTTTTTGTCTAGCACAGTGGTGCCCAAAAGGTAGATCCACAGATGTTGTAGAACTACAACTCCCATGATGCTTTGCATGCCTTTAGACTGCCTTTAGAATGAAAATGGAATGGAATGAAAGCTGTAGTTTTAAAACATCTTGGGATCAACCTATTGGGCACCTCTGATCTAGTACATCCTATACATATTTTAATAAGGACATGTACCACATGTCTGCCTTAAATTTCCATAGGTGATAGTTTCCATTATTTAGAATTGTCAATATGAACGTCACATGGTCCTGTTCATGGTCTTATTTCTTCAATTCTTGTTAAAGTTCCAAACTCATTTTTTTTTCTTTTGCAGTTATGTAGCATGTTAAAGGTTATAAGATTATTAAAGAGGTTCTTCTAGTAAATGTAACCTCTGCTAATTATTTTTATAATCATCATATGAGGCAATGGGGATACATTGAAACACTCCTCTTAGGTAGAGCGAGAAACCACCAATTATTGTGAACCTCTCAAACACTCATATTGTAAGATGTATTCATGAAGTGTGAATTATTGTGAATGTAAAGGGAATTTCACATTTTAAGCCAAAGTAGATAAAGTAGAACACATCTAAATCATCTATATTGACAGTTTTTACTTTGGTTCTGTTGGCCTACCATTTGAAATTCCCTTTTCCTGACAACACTTTAGTGTAATTACCCTTGTGATTATGGAAGTACTACTGCTTGATTTCATCTGTTATAGGTATCCTTTCTGAAGTGGTTTCATAAAGTGTTAGTTATGCTTGATGAAATATTGTAAGTAGGACTCAAAATGTGCAGAACTCAAAAGGATTACATTTTAATAAGATATAACGCAAACAGTGTTTAAATACATACAAAAAAGAAAACACACAAATTGTAACCGTTTCAGAACACTAAGGCTGCTTGCAATGGGGTGCCTCCATGGGGATCCCAGCCTTTAATGCCCTATACTGCCCTTCTAAGGCCTTGATTTAAATTAATTGGATAAATATTCCAATTGATTTCATATTTTTGGAAAAATGTGTAAAATTATTTGTTTAAATTTGAGTTAGAAATAGTTTGAGCTTCCACAACCCACTGGCAAAGCTAAGCCCACCGGGAACCACGACTCAAACATCATACCAGATGACCACAGGCAGGAGGAGGTTGTGGCGACACCATATACCACCCAATAAGATTACCATGACACCAGGTAGCAATGCATTGGAGGTGCATGAACCATGCGCGACCTCCGCACGAGGCAAGACCTCACTAACAAACAAAAACTCACAACCACGACTGAACAACAAACCACACATAGGCGACCAAGGCACAGAAGCCAGTCCAGCTCCCAAGAGAGACATCCCAGAGGCGTACACCTCAACAGCACTACTGACCCACACTTAACCCACCCACACAGACACATTCCACCACATGGAGAGACGCCACAGGTGGGGCCTCTACCGGGCTGGGGGAGCTGTGTCTGGTGAGTCACTCTGCCTCTCTAGGGTCAGTGAAGGGGCCACAGCAAACGAAGACCACAACCTGGAGGGCCCTTACCACTATACCTCACGTATCATTCAGACTGTAAGGCAAAAGTATTCCTAAATCTCCTCTAAGCCCATCTTGCTACAGCACAACTGACAACAATAGCATGGGCGATAAACTTAACAAAACACAAAAAAAACAGAAGGTGTGTGTTCATTTCTATATACAACCGTTTACATTGGACAAACCTATATTCCTGTCAAATATGTATATTGAGCAAACCCATACTCTCACATACGCAATACAAAGACAACAACAGAATGAAAACAAAACAAGACAAAAAAAAAAAAGTGTGATTCCCGAATACACCAGTTTGTATTTGCAAACCAGTTCACTGTTCTATTTGTATCCTGTGCAAATCTGTATTTCTACATACACAACAAAAATAAAGAATTTAAAAAAAGAAATAGTTTGAGTTTTTTTAAAACATGTTTATATTTTTAAAGTGTATGTATATATATTTATTATTATTTTAATTTGTAAAAAAAAAAATCTCTTAGAAGTTTATGCAAAATATTGAATCACTTGAAAAGCTTATCCAACAATAAATTGCTGATTAAGTATGTGTAATTCTATAAAAATACATTTTAAAGGCGCGCCCTAATGTTAAACATATATTTGATATATTTTCATGTAATATATAAATCCCACAGTATTTCTTATTACTTTGTGTATATCATATAGTAAAAAGAAAAGGGTGGGCAGAGCACTATCTGCCTGTGTTCTCCTGACATGATTTTTGTGTTAGTCCCCTGTGGTATAATTAGCAAGTTCTTTTTAAACTGCTATAGGCTCTGTGACTCTTTTTTTTCTAGCATTAAGTAATCAAATACAATAGGAGATATTGGGATAAGAGATGGGAGGTGTTTGTAACTAAGGCACTCTTCCAGCTGGGCTTCATCTCCCAGTTGTTTGGTTTCCTTGGTTACCGTGGATTCCACTTCCTGCTGTGCTGAGTCTGCAGAGATATCTGTTACACAGGTGTCAGGCTGGTCCCCTCCTCTCTATTCAGCGAAAGGAACGTTTCAGAAACCTAGGATCTCACTGGCATTCAAGCACAAGCCAGTCACCTCACCTGTATGTATGTCTTACAATGTGTGTGTTTATACTGGTGTAAACATGTCTGATAGGAGATGCATGTTAGTTGTACTGATTCTGCTAGGATATGCCATGTACAATGTATCAATAGCTGAATGTGAACATAGCACAGCAGCGTTACTATGTTGCACGTGTATTTTGTCTCCTGTTTCTAGCTCTAACTGATCAAAGATGTTACAGAGCTTTTAAATGTAATATTGTCTTTATGTGAAAATCTGTTACCCTTTTGAAGAGCGAATTGTATTTTGAATGTCTTACTCGCCCCATGTCTCGATAGAGCGTAACATAGTAAAAGTAGGGACTAGCAGAATGAAAGCATTGTTTATAAACCAGAATAGCAGTGCAGAGAATGAAAAAAAAAATATAGTATGTTTATTCGAAATTCTACAATTTCCGCTCATCTCAAAAAAAATTGGTAAAAAGTGGTCAGGTAGTTTTTTCCCCCCAGGATTCTACATATCACTGTTTTGCAATACTTTTTTTGGTTTTTGCCAAGGTGCACAGTTACAACATTAGCATGGCAAACTTATTTTTTTTTCATATTTTACCTTCATCAGAGCCTATAAATTACCCAATTACTTGTGCCTCACTAGAGAGAGAAGCATACTTCTAGGCAAACTGACTTACCAGTTTTAACCCCTTAAGGACCAAACTTCTGGAATAAAAGGGAATCATATGTCACATATGTCATGTGTCCTTAAGGGGTTAAAGGAATACTCCAAGCACAATAGCCACTGCACCCCTTCCCAATGTAAGCAGGAGCATCCAGCTCTCCTGGCTTCAGAGGTGTAAAGGGCACCAGGAGACCCCAGGGAAGAAATCAAATCATTCGAAAAATGGGGGGGGGAAGGGGGGGGGGGGGAGGGGCAGAGGGTATGGAGTCACCAGGTCATTCTTGAGAACATTGCGACTACAGCTTACTTTGAGTGTTTCTTTCATTTATTGCCAGATGAGAATTCCTGTTTCAGTACCATACATGTTTAAAAATATATATTTTAAGGATTCTATTTAACTTATTGCAGCCTTGACATCAACAGTTACACTACACACTTTGAGTTAGCTTAACACACATCGGTGTAACATGGCACACTGGTTGAAAACCACTTTTGTAGTTAATAAAAAATGTTGAGTTACTCATTACAAGGATATTCTAAGACTCAAAAAAACTTTACAGCTTTATGAAGCAGTTTTGGTGCATAGATGATTCCCCTGCAGTCTCACTGCTTAATGTTTTGCCATTTGGAAATTAAATTATTTTGCTTATGGACCACTAGCCACGCCTCCCCTGGCAGTGACTCACACAGTCTCCATGAAAAAAATGGTTTAATTTTAACAGCACAATCCATTTCATTGAGAAGTTCTTATGTCCTGCTCTACCAATTGAACTTTAATCACACACAGGAAGTTGCTGATCTATACACCGAAACCACTTAATTTAGCTAAATCTTTGTGATCCTTAGTGACCCTTTAAGCTTCCATTGAAATCATTATTTTCAATATTAGTGAAAAAAATCCCAGTTAGAAACACTCTATATTCATTCACCAGATTTATTATTATTATGTTATTTATATAGCGCCATTAAATTCCACAGCGCTTTACTATGGGTGGACGAACAGACATGTAGTTGTAACCAGACAAGTTGGACACACAGGAACAGAGGGGTTGATGGCCCTGCTCGATGATCTTACATGCTAGAGGGAGTGGGGTAAAAGGACACAAAAAGGTAAGGGTAGTATTAGACTAGTGACAGTTGCAGAAGAGGAATCAGTCAGGAGCTATTAACAGTTTAATTGATACGCTTCTATGAAGAAGTGGGTTTTTAACAATTTTTTGAAGGAGTGGAGACTGGGTGAGCATCTAGCGGAGGAAGGAAGCGATAGATAGCATATGAGAGGTTCTAAAATATTTAAACAGGTCCAGCTGATAAAAATAACCTCTGCTAATTTTTTATTAATTCACTGTTCACATATAATTGGAGGTGGTGGGGGAAACATGGAAACACTTCTCTCAGGTACAATGAGACACCACCCATTATGTTAACCCCTCAAACACATACACAGTAAAATAATAGAGGAGTTGGTGCATAGTCCTCGACAAGTATGTAGTAATTAGGGGAGCTGCTGGACCAGGGCATCTTGTTTTAGTTCCTTATTTGTCATGCATTTCTTGGGTTTTACCAGGTATTATATAGCAGATCTATGTGGATATATGGTGGGTACGTTAAAGGCCTGCATTCATTTTATTTTCTCTTATACCAGGATCATGTGTGTTGACATCTTTAAGTCCACCAGCTCATTTACAGTGCTGTTCAAAGCAGGTTCATATTGCTGTGCTCCACTTCTTTTATTTAGAAATGACATCAATTGAATTCATTATTTGTTTTATATATTATCTATTTACCATTTTCAGACTTTCAAAAGTGGATGCAATTCAGGGTCAGTTCTTTGCCTGCAATTGTATGAATTCTCAAACATTACATAGACTTTAGATATTTCCACTGCTAAAATTTTAGTGGTCATAGAATTGTTTGGTGTTATAGTTATAAATGCAGTATGATGCTAAAGGAATACTCTATAATTAAAAATAAAATATTTTTAACAGTAGTGGTTGGCTTTTTTTAACACACATCACTGACTCTGTTAAAAAGAATAGTTTAGAAACACAATTTAAAGGACCACTATATAGTCCTTAGGTCCCCCCACCCTCAGGGCCCCTCTTCAGCTGGGTTGAAGGTTAAAACCCCTTCAGCCACTTACCTTAATCCAGCGCCGGGCTCCCTCGGCTCTGGTGACTTCTCCTCCCCCTCCGATGTCAGCTCACCTTCGAATGCCAGAGCGCGTACGCATTTAAACCACCCATAGGAAAGCATTACTCAATGCTTTCCTATGGACGTTCTGTGTGCTCAGTGCGATTTTTGCATTGAGCGTCGCGGAAGCAGTTCTAGCAGCTGTCAGGAAGACAGCTACTAGAGGCTGGATTAACCCTGCAATGTAAACATAGCAGTTTCTCTGCAACTGCCATGTTTACAGCTGCAGGGTTAAAACCTGGGGGACCTGGCACCCAGACCACTTCATTACTTTAAGATTGTCACTTGTAGGAACACGACAGTGTTAGGAATATAAATATGATTGATTTAGTATTGTTGGGTATGCTTTCCAAATGATTTCATATTTTTGGCTAAACCTTTTTTAAACACATTTCAAAATATTAAAATATAAAAAATATATATCATATATAAAACAAATACCAGTATGTAAAATCTATCAACATGTTACAAAATTAAAAAAAACATAATAATATTAAATCCTTTTAAAAGTTTATCCAAAAATATTAATTGCTTGAAAAGCTTATCCAACAATAATAAACTGAGACCTATGTTAGTTCACCAAAACAACTTTAACTTAATGAAGCAGTGTTGGTCTATACATCATGCCCCTGCAGTCTGATATTAAGGAGTTAAATCGCCTTGTTTATACAGTCCAAGTCACACCTCCCTTCATCTGACTTAAGCATCCTTTTTAAACACTTCCTGTAAATAGACACGTAATGTTTAAACTCCCTGCATTGTGCATTGTTTTAAATTTAGAATTTATCATCAGCTGTTCTATTGATAGCCTTCTAGACCCCACAGGAGCCCTCTGTGTATGCTTAAAGTTCAAGTTACAGAGTAAGAAATAAAGAAAGTTAACATATGATTCAGAATGAAACCATTTTTCATGCAGACTGTGTCAGTGTCACAGCCAGAGTAGGTGTGGCTAGGGTTACATAAACAGAAACAAAAGTAATTTAACTCCCAATGTCAGAGAATTTAGCAGTGAGACCGCAGGGGCATGATCTGTACACCAAAACTGCTTCATTAAGCTAAGGTTGTTTTGATGCCTATAGTATCACTTTAAGATACAACATTTTGTGAATTATTATAAAATAGAGCAGAAAATAGACATAGTTAACTAATTATAGGAAGCATGTAGATGCCTTGTCTTCAACAAGTGGCAAGTAACACACAATAAGGAAGGTCTAGGTAGAATATTCTGCAGTCCGTTACAGGTAGAGAAAGATAATCTAGGGAATCAGTTTACTAATGTACACACCTAGTTACCATAATAAACATAAGTGAAGGCACTCTGTGGATGAAGGATGGTATGTAGTGTGTACACTGTTATATTGCTTTTATTTATATGGAAAATAAATGTTAACAGTAAAAGAGTAAAACAAATGAATTATTAAGCTGTAATAATAATAATATGTAATAAGATGAAACTTATTGACTAGCTACAGTTGTTGTGATATACTTTCTTTGCTTTGTATTGTTGTTGTGTTCACTATGTGGTGTTATTTTATCTACAATGTAAAGTGTAATATACAGGATTCTTTATGGGAAATACTTGTAGAAGGCACATGGTCCTGAAGCTCTATAAAGAGTTGATTCATATTTTGCAGTATTTTCTTGGTGAACATTCAGTCACTATTAATCCTACCATAATAATGTAATGCATATTAATTATGTTCCAGGTGGCCGTACATTCAATAAGATCCTAAAGACAACATGTGGGTATCTTGATGTAGACATGTGTATGTAGATTTAGAGTTGTAGCCTCCAGCATTGATTGTGTTAAAATGATTAAACTTGTGGAAGTATGAAAACACGTTTGGCCATATTAGCTTGATAGTTGTAATCTCCAGTAGCCAGAATGACTAGTGTATTCCTGGACACAGCAGGTACCGAGTCCAGCAATGCTCACAATGTCCTAGATTGTTTTTCTAAGACAAGATACTGAGAAAGTAGAACTGTCCAAGGAATTATGTCTCTTTTTCTTGTTTATCTTTTCTTCACAAATCCTTTTAAATATCATCATTTTTAATGGGGAATATTAAAAATGTTACTTTGCTCTGCTTTGAAATATTGCCCCAATGCAGTTTGAGGCTTCAACAGTGGCATGTGAGGAACGTTCTTACATTTGTTCAGTGTTATTTTAGAAAAATACTCAAAAGATGAGAAAATTAGATATGCATGTGGACGTCCAGCATCACCTAAAACCCTATAGTAAAGCATTATACATGCTTTCCTATGGGGCAAATGTAAATGCCAGTGCAGCCATTTCTGCACATGCGTATTAGATCTGCATATTAGGCCAGCGCCCGAACTCAGGTAAGTGACAGAAGGTTTTTTTGTAATGCACCATGGGGGAGGAAGGGAAGCGCAAGGAAGGGCGGCCTAATAGGGAACTAGAGGGCCAGGTAAACAACTTTGTTTTCCCTTTAACTGTCAATCAAGGCCTATGGTTTCTGTAATCACAGCACCCTTGTTATAAGTCAGTGTGTAATGCATTGCTTCTTCACTTGAAGTGCATTCAGCAATATCCCAAATACCATATTATATCCAAATTACTTTATATTGTAAATTCTATTACTATAAACGGTATACATAAAGAACACTTCTACAAAACATAACTCAGACTTTGAAACAGACATTTATGATTACTGTCATAAAATGATCACTGTCTTGATTATTAGATTAAAATTAACAAATAAATCGGCCCTGGTGTGATTTTGAGAGTGAAGAATGTAACACTTAGGGGAAACAGAGTGGACATTGCTGTAAGCAGGGTGCTACGGGACTTCCTATAAAAATCTTACATACTACACTTGCACACTTGAATGTAAGGGTCAGATAAGTGCCTTGAACAGCTACAAAAATGAAAAAAATCACTTTTTAGTGATATACTGCCTATGCTAATAGTTCCCAGTCATCAAAGCATTGTTAAAAAGCTCTGCAGAATAAGTTGGCACTATATAAATGCAGATAATAAACTGATGGATAGAATATATGCTTATTTGAGCTTACTCAACACCTCAACATCCTCTGTTCCTGTAGATCAAACTCACCCTTTTGCAAAATACTTGTCTGTTAGTCCACTATTGTAGAGTTCTGTGAAATCTGTTGCCACTTTGTAAATAATTCTAATAATAATAATAAAATAGAAGCAGGAAGGTTCAGAAATATGTCAGCTCAGGCTTTCAGTGGAAGTTAATTACTTTGATTTTATATGACATATGTAGTGCCTATTAGCAAAGTTTTCCAGGGAAATAATTGATAGGGTAGACCAACTGCAGTCATGCATGTGTAAATTAACTCTTTCTAAAAAAAAAAAATAAACTCAAAGCACACCATTAAATATTGCACAGAAAGGATCTACAATATATACAATACAAAGTGCAAGCATGCAGAGAATAAGTAATATAACATAGGGTATACTAATCCAGAGCTGGAGACTCACAGAGCCCAGACGTTCTGACACTCGTTCACACAGCCCAGATGTTTCGGCCCTCGTTCACACAGCCCAGACGTTTTGGCACTCGTTCACAAAGCCCAGACGTTTCTGCACTCGTTCACACAGCCCAGACATTTCGGCACTCATTCACAAGCCCAGACGTTTCAGCACTCGTTCACAAGCCCGGGTGTCTCGGCATTCGTTCACACAGCATAGACGTTTTGACATTCCTTCACAAAGCCCAAACGTTTCAGCACTCGTTCACATAGCCCAGACATTTCGGCACTCAAGCGCCGAAACGTCGGAACTATGTGAGTCTCCAGCTCTGGGTTAGTATACCTTATGTTATAATACTTTTTGGACTAATGTATTAAGCACTTTATTGCCTGGATTTATGTGGCTATTTACATTTACTATTTACATTCTCTGCATGCTTGCACTTTGCATTCTGTGTGTTTTTATTTCTTGTTCTTTTAAAAAAGATTTTTTTCTGTGCAATTTTCCTGGTGTGCTTTGAGTTTTTTTTATTTTATTTCATTTGTGGACTTGGAGGGGCACCAGTTTTTTTTCTTTTTCATTAAGCACCCTGCACTATAATGGCTGCATGGTATACATATTTGTCCATATTTGTTGAGCGCTTGCTATATTTTGTACGTATTAACTCTTGCTAATGCAAGTCAAATTGAAATTTACAAAAATAATTTTTCTAGTTAGAACTACATCCTGACAGTTTTAGTGGCATACACTAAATCATGCTGCGGTGTTGACTTACATTGTTTGAATAGGTAGAATTAATAAATCCTTGAGAGTTTGACAATGTAAAATGCTATTCAACATATTGAGGCTAGTTTGTCAAATACAGTGCTATACTGACACTCAGTGGCTGTTTAGTATACTGCAAATTCAAATAGACTAAACATTTTACATTATTCTTTACTGGCAGAATTATATTATTAGTGATGTAAAATGAAACTGATACAAACTTTGGCTGGTTATGTGTTCTTTTGTGAGGCTTTTTTTTTGCATATCTGTAATATTTACCAGCAGTGATGCTTATATATAAATGTATACTTCAGGACTGCATAGCAAAGTGTAGTCAGAGGTCAGTAGTCATTATTTTATCCACCATAATTCCATATTGAGATGATTTTAAAAGTGTTCCTGATAAAATCCATTTAAAATAATCAACGGATTTAACCTAGTTACAAACAAGTAGACAATGATTTTTTTTATTATTTAAATAGTGACACAGGTCGTACATCTGTGTACTTTCCACATAAAGTTTGTACATTTGTACAGTATAAAAGGGGCCCAGTTGAAGAAAATATATATATGGATAATCTATACTTAATTTTAGGAATGGATGATTTGTGACGTTTCCAGCATAGCTCTCCCTTCTAATGTTCCATCACAGATCTCCTGCTGTTAAGATTTGAAACCATGTCTCTATATTCACTCATTAGCTTGTGGAAGGTAGCACAGATATAGTGTGTATGCTTGAGCAGATATAAATCTGCAATTAATACTAAACATTTTTTTTTCAGCCTTTCTTCAACAATATCTACTATCCTTTGTCATCCCTTCAGGCAAGTCCACGGTCACTGAAGATGCCAGGACATCTCACATCTCCTGTCTATCAACCCATTCCCCATATTCCAATTATGCAAAAAGGCAGCCTTATTCAGAGTTTTCGGTTCCAGCCTCGTAGGGATGGCATTGACTGGAGGCGATTCAGTGCCATTGACACTGAAAGAGTTGCTCGTGAACTTGACATATCTACTCTCCAGGAGAGTATGAATTCTATAACTTTCTGTAACTTGGATAATGAGAGATGTCCATATTGCCAGCAACCTGTGGACCCTGTTTTGTTGAAAGTTTTGAAGATGGCACAGTTTATTATTGAATACCTTCTGCATTGCCAAGATGCTCTGACCATTAATATGTCACAACTTGAGGATCGTGTAGAGGAGGCAATAGCTGAACATCAGAAGACTAAAGATGAACTGAACAAGCAGAGTGAGGAATTAAAAAAAGTTAAAGAGGAGAGCAAAAGGAGGAAGAAACTGATTGCATCTCAGCAGTTGCTTTTGCAAGCCAGTGCAAACAACTATCATAAGGTGAGCCCAGAGGGGAATAGCTAATTGTGTGCATTTGCCTTTGATATCTATGAACAACTCATTTAATGGCCTCTTGTAAAGTTCTGTGCCCTTTTAAGAGACAGTGGGGCAAAACAAATTTCCATGGGTCTAGGTTTATCGAAGTGGTGAAAAACAAATTACACTAGTTACTAAACTTCGAATTGTGGGAAATGGGAATTTCAAAATGAAAGTCAAACTAATCAAACTGAGAAACTAGGGAAGTTGCGAAATTTACAATTTTTTTTACACAGTTTTGCCATTTTAAGCTAAAATTTGAAATTCCTTGAAAAATATCCAGATTTCCTAGGTTAATGAATAACTCTGAAGGTCTTCCAAAGCTGTTTAATTTGCATTTTGGTCTACTAGATATGTGAATCACAGCATATGTCCTACTGTCCTTCTCATCATACTATATGGGATAATGAATGATTACATTATAAACACACATACATAGGATCAGTGCCAGCTAAAACATTGTTTGCACAGATAGAAATTCTGAAACAAATGGACCAATAATGTTTTCTTAGTCCTCAACCACCAATTTGAAATGTACATATATATATAAAAAAAAAATTATATATATAATCCTGAGGAAAGTCCCAGTTGGGGACTGAAACGTCGATCCACACATGTTTTAATATATTTTTTTCAATAAAGAATGGAACTTTTTTTTAAAATTCTTTATTTTTGTTGTGCGGGTAGGTACAAAGTTTTCACAAACGCCACGACAGCGTTTATCAACATATATCAACATATAAAAAGAGTATGACAGTGGGCGTGGTCGCACAATTTTTTTTTCTATACGTAAGCAGGGTTACAATTATTGTCTGTAGTAGGTTCATCATTTAGCAGAATGGAACTTTTAAACTTCAAAAGGCCGTGATTCCAAGCCAATTAATGTAAAAATAATCTGGATATTGAGCCCAAGGCATTGCGCCCAGCATTACAACGTGGAGCCAGAGTGCAAGGAACTGCAAGAATTATACTTGGCTTATTCATAACCAGTCATTGGAGATATTTAGGTTCTAAACAGCTCAATACATTATAAAGGTAAAACATAATTATCCCTATGTTTAACAGACTTTTGCATTCGTATTTAGCTTAAGTATGATTTGGACAAATTTGATCAAATATGCTATTCGGCAGAATTCCAGATCTCTGAACAAACAACTAGTGGGATGGCCAAACAAGTTCATTTTATTCTATATTTTAAGTTCTGCTTGCGGCACCAAATCAGGAAGTGGTTAAAAAAATGTAACATAGAACAGGTAGGAAATATATATATGCAGAGTATGATGCACACACATTCATTCCATAACATTTCCCATATAACAATTAATTCCGCTATGGCTTTTCAGCATTAAATGATCTCTAGGGGTTGGCAAATGTGGTGCTCATTGACAAAGATGGTTCTTTGATAAGGGTCACTGAGTAGAAGATTTGCATTTATAAAGTTTCTTTTATTTACAAATGAAATAGTTTGTGTCCCAGGAATTGCAAACATAAGAAGATTCTTTTTTTTTTTTAACCAGGGAGATAACTTTCAGTATTATCTGATTTGTGTTTAATTATTAAAAATGTATTTTGTACCAACAAAAGTACTTGAAAATTTTAAAATACGATACGTTATAACAGACACTTCCTTGAAGCTGTAGCAGTGGGTTTATTATGCCATTTGAATTCAAGAGGATCCTGTTGGGAGTTGAGATCACAAGTAAGAACTGCTCAAACAAAATGTTTCAACTTGGTGCTCTTCGTGGCGCACTTTTTGTTTGTTTTGTTTTTTATTTCATTTGGTATTTTAATTTTGTATTTGAAGCTTACTTTCATTAAAGGAACACTATAGTCACCTAAATAACTTTAGCTTATTGAAGTAGTTTTGGTGTATAGAACATGCCTCTCAGGTTTCACTGCTCAATTCACTGCCATTTAGGAGTTAAATCACTTTGTTTCTGTCTATAAAGCGCTTACCACACCTTCCCTGGCTCTGATTGACACAGCATGCATGAAAAAACTGGTTTCACTTTCAATCAGATGTAATTTACCCTAAGCAATTTTATCCCTTGCTCTGTAAATTGAACTTTAATCACATACAGGAGGCTCTTGCATGGTCTAGCAAGCTATTAACATAGCAGGGGATAATACAATCTAAATTAAACAGAACTTGCAATAAAGGAAGGATAAACATTAGATGGCTCTTTACAGAAAGTGTTTGTAACGTATTCATCCGCTTATACAAATGTGGTTATTGGAATTTACTGTCAACACAGGAAAAGTTGTGCCGAGCAGCAACCAAATCCACAGAAGGGTTAATGCTGAGCAGCAATTATGCAAATGGAAACCTGATAACTGCCTTTGGGGTCAAAGGCCTGTTACAGCCTATCAGATATAGAGGAGGGGTATTTAGGCCCAGTTCTCATCCTACTCAGTGCCCTGTTGTGGTTTCCCTTGTGGTTGTCCGAGAGCCCATTCCTGTTTCAAGTTTCTTCTGGTTTTTGACTTTGGCTTTGATTTTGACTTCCTGTATTCTGTATCCCTGACTTCTGGCTTTCTCTTATTGTTGTGTCTCTTTCTGTATCCCTTCACCTTGGCAAGTATCCTGACTATTCTTTGGTACGTTAAGTCTGGCCATTCTAAGGCCCGGTAATACATTACCTATTAGTCATCTGTGTGACACAATTCTACGTGCTGGATCAACTAGTAATCCTGACATTACGACATGGCCATAGATCCTGTAGAACATAGCTGCTTGCGAGAGAAAGCTAGTGGAGAATGATCACAATATGGATCAGTTTGCCCAGGCTTTCAGCACGCTCCTTACTCGAACAGTGCATCTGCAACCTGCGGCTTCTCCAAATGTGTCACCTCCGCCTAATGTACCTCCTGTAGTACATAAGGCACCTACTATTTCCCTATCTCCTCCCCTGCATTTTGATGGTAATATTCAAGAATGCCTGGGATTTATTAACCAAATTGAGTATCATTTTGAGGCCTCACCGGGATCTTTTCCCACTGACAGAGCTAAAATTGGTTATCTGATGAACCAACTTAAAGGTAAAGTTTTAGCTTGGGCTAATCCGTTATGGGAGAGTAATAGGAGCATTGCACACAATTACCTGGAATTCCTTGCAGAATTTAAACTTGCGTTTGAACCATTAGGCAGGGAGGATGACGCCTCCACTGCCCTAATGCATATTAGACAAGGGAACCGGTCTATCTCAGAGTATGCCATAGAATTTTGCACCTTGGCTTCCGAGGTAGACTGGACTAACAGCGGATTAATCTCAGCATTTAAGAAGGGATTATCTGATACTGATGTTGGATGAGATTGCTGCCAAAGAACTATCCAAAAAACTCAATGAGTTTATTACGTTTATTTTGCTAATTGATAATAGACTCAGAACCAGAAATAAAACCAGACGTATGGCTTTGCCATTAGCCCCTCATTTCTCCAGACCGGTTGTTCCTGATCTCTCTATACAGTCCGAACACGAACCAATGCAGTTGGGGGTCACTAAACTGTCCGAGGCAGAAAGACAACATCGGAGAAGAGAGGGTCTATGCATATACTGTGGTAAAAAAGGACATATGAGGAGTACTTGTCCCATAAGTCCGGAAAACTACCGCACCTAAGTACCTTAAGGGGACAGGTCTTAGGTGTAATGGATACGTCCTCTGGGAATAACAATAATAGATTTCTCCTTGATGTTACGATCATAGTTGACAAAAATAACTTTTCATGCAAGGACTCAGGTACAGCAGGAAATTTCATTGATGTTTATTTTGTTAAAAAGAATGCTATACCTATTAAGGAGAGAATATCACCTCTGGCTGTTGAGGCTATTGAAGGGAGACCACTCTCTCAACCCTTAATTACCCATGAAACCTTGCCCATTAACATGTCTATTGGTGCCTTGCATAAGGAAGATATAATTGTGACGAGACCAATCTCGCCACATTGCATTGGAGAAGCCTGGTTGCTCGCCTGCTGCCTCTGGACTATGGCCCCTTTTAAAAGACTTTATTTCGCCTGCAGAAAAGCTGTATTCGTGCTTTTCTGCCGGTTGTTCGGTAGATTCAATCACCGAACAACCGCCCGAATCAATAGACCACCTGGGAGCTGGAGTGTGCCGGCAATTAACCTCCCTGAATCTGCGGTTAACCGCAGCTTAATTGACGAATGCTTGGTGGCCGCCATTCGTATCCCGAACACGAGGTCGCGGCCATTTTAAACATACGAACGCACAGCGGTGTTCGCCCCTATTTTCATGGAACTAAAATCGGACACAGTTTTGCGCGAACACCGCTGAAGCCGCCGACCTCCCTTCTTGTTCGGTGGAAGTGCACGAACGGCCCGGTGTTCGGTAGTTTTGTGTGAATGTGTTATACCCCAGATAGGAATCCCATGGAGCCCATTCATATGAAACTGACTGTAAAGACTTTGGCTCCATGGCGATTAAACTGTATTCGTGTGGTCTGAGCACCATTCGCTTAATAATGTGCGCTCAGACCTGAGATATCTGGGGATATGTTACATGTCTGTGTTTTATGTAATAAATGTTACTTTATGTATTTTAAAGTATAATACTGGTTTTGTGTCCCCACATGTGTAATAATGCCTTTGTCCTGGGAGATAATTGAATTACTTCTCCAGGGCAGAGGGGAGGGGAGGAAGCCAGGATGCATTGTGGGGATGTTTTACTTCTGTATGTCTGTAATTGGTACATGTCTGTCTTTTGTTACAGTCTTCCATCTGGTCCCCTAGGGGAGTGTCCACCAGGTGTGAGACCTGCATAAATACTGGGCAGGTAGCCCTCATTAAACAGACCACTGCTTGACCCTCAACACGGAGCCTTGTCTTGTTCTTGGGGGGATTCACTGTATGACGTTAGAGACTGATTGCCAGGAGTGTAGGCTGATTGTCTGCTTTTCCTGTTCGTCTGCTAGCAGCTATTTGGGAGGTTCCAGTTCGGAAGTTGGAGTGCTATTTTGTATCCAGTTCGGGAGTTTGGTATTCTGCAGTAGCTGTGCCTGTATCTCTGGAAAGGGGGCCGATCGCCTAAACGGTTTTTACCCCTTGTGTGCAAAACGGTCCGTTACAATAATATTCCAAGTTATTGCATCTCCTTCTTGAAATATTGGAATGGGGCAAGGATTGTAATGGGAAGTGTATGTTACACCTCACCAAGAGAGTGGGTACCATTAAATTACCCACTACTATATCTCAAACCCCTGAATTTCCCATACAATACTGGGAGGTTAAGGAAGTATTTAGTAAGAGTCAGTCCAATATCTTACTTCCTCACAGGTCATATGACTGCTACATAAATCTCTTACCCGGCGCTATGCCACCTAAAGCGGCAGTATATGCCTTATCGCCACAGGAGAGTAAAATAATGGAAGAATATGTCAAAGACTCACTAAACAAGGGCCATATATGGAAATCATACTCACCTGCTGGTGCAGGCTTATTTTTTGTAGAAAAGAAAAATGGAGAATTACGTCCATGCATTGACTACAGAGCATTAAATAAGATTACTGTTAAGAATGCCTATCCTATTCCTCTCATTTCCGAATTGTTTGATAGACTCCAGGGTGCTAAGATCTTTACCAAACTGGATCTCAGGAGTGCATACAATTTGGTAAGAATCAAGGAAAATCATGAGTGGAAAACAGCATTTAACACTAGATGCGGGCACCATGACTACCTTGTTATGTCTTTTGGGCTATGAAATGCACTGGCCGTATTCCAGGATTTTATTAATTATGTACTCAGGGATTATATCTATTCTTTTGTCCTTGTTTATTTGGATGATATCCTTATATTTTCCCCTGACCTTCAAACCCACCACAAACAGGTCAAACAAGTATTGCAGACTTTACTGGAAAATAAACTTTATTGTAAATTGGAAAAATGCTTGTTTGATCAGACTGAAGTACAGTTTTTGGGGTATAACATTTCTGCCTCTGGTTTTCAGATGGACCCTAAGAAACTAGAGGCTGTTATACAGTGGCCAGTACCTAGCGGACTAAAAGCCATCCAAAGATTTATTGGGTTTGCGAACTATTACAGAAGATTTATCAAGGGGTTTTCTTCTGTAATAGCCCCCATCACCAATATGACACGTAAGGGGGCTTGTAGTACGGTATGGTCTAAGGAATCTAGAGATGCTTTTGAACTTCTTAAACAAAGATTTGCTTATGTCGACATACTGAGACACCCTGACACCAGCAAACCCTTCATATGATGCCTCCGAAACTGGGGTAGAGGTGGTTCTTTCTCAAAGGGAGAGTCAGGACACCTGTTTGCATCCTTGTGGCTACTTTTCCTGAAAGTTGTCTCCCGCTGAGTGCAATTATGATATTGGCAACAGAGAATTGTTGGCCATTGTCCTAGCGCTTAAAGAATGGCGACATCTTTTGGAAGGTTCCAAGGATCCCCTTTTGATCATTACAGACCATAAGAATTTGGCTTATATAGGGGATTCTAAACGTCTATCTTCTAGACAGGCTAGATGGTCTTTGTTTCTGTCTCGCTTTAACTTCCTTATAACTTACAGACCTGGTCCCAAAAATGTGAAGGCTGATGCCTTGTCTAGACAGTTTGATACTGAGTCTTTACAGGAACATGAGACATCCCCTATCGTGCCTCCTGAATGTATCATCGCTTCTACTGTTCTTTCACTGTCTTCTCCCTTGCTTGGTACTATAATGGAGGCTCAGTCTCAGGCACCATGCAATAAACCACTGGAAAAATAGTTTGTTCCATTAGGTGAAAGAAAGAATGTGCTGAGGGTGTTTCACGACAATGTGACTGCTGGACACCCAGGTATGAATAAATCCATATCTCTGATCATGAGATCATTTTGGTGGGATTCCCTTAAAAACGATGTGAAGGACTATGTGCAGGCTTGTTCAGTTTGTGCTGTTTCTAAGGTCCCTCATAAGCTTCCTTGTGGTTTGTTGCAACCACTTCCTGTACCTAGTGTTCCATGGTCCCACTTGTCAATGGACTTCATCGTTGAACTTCCAAGTTCCAATGGCTATACCATCATCCTTATGGTGGTTGACCGTTTCTCCAAGATGGCTAATTTTATTCCACTTAAAAAATTGCCATCCTCTCAAGACCTGGTTCTTATCTTTATACGTGAGATTGTCCGACTGCACGACATTCCTCACAATATTGTGTCTGATAGGGGCTCTCAGTTTGTGTCTCGGTTTTGGAGGGCGTTCAGTGAACAGTTGGGCATTGAATTGTCTTTTTCTTCCGTTTACCATCCCCAAACTAATGGCAAGGCTGAGAGGGCTAACCAGTCATTAGAGTTATATCTGCGTTGTTTTGTAAATAGCACTCAAGATAATTGGTCCGAATTACTACCCTAGGCCGAGTTTGCTAGGAACAATGCCACCCATGACTCTTCTGGTCACAGCCCATTCTTTGTTAATAATGGTTGTCATCCTACTGTCCTGCTGGCTGTTTTCTCTGAGACAACTATCCCTGCTTTGGATGATCGCCTTTCTTCTATCAGTGATACTTGGACCAAAGTTTATTCTGCTCTCAAAACTGCGGCTGATCGCTTCAAGTTCTATGCAGATAAACGACGGGGTGCCAACCCCGTTTACCAAGTGGGTGACAGGGTATGGTTATCATCGCGCAACATCAAATTGAAAGTTCCTAGTATGAAGTTTGCACCCATATTCCATGGCCCCTTTTGTATCCTTTGGAGGATTAACCCTGTGTCATAGTCTCTGGCCCTCACGGCCTCATTACGTATTCCAAATACCTTTCATGTGTCGCTACTAAACCTCTTGTTTGCAATAAATATACTATCTCAAGTGTCCCTCCTCCTCCTTTAGTTGTTTCTGGACAGGAAGAGTATGAGGTCTCTTCCATAATTGATTCCAGGTTTTCTCTGGGCACTTTACAGTACTTGATGGATTGGAAAGGTTATGGAACAGCCGATCGTTCTTGAGTTCCAGCATCTGATATACATGCTGGCCGCAAAATTCGCTATTTTCACGCCAAGTTTCCTCTCAAGCCTGGTCCTGCGCGCCTGGTGGGTGTTCTTCAGGTGGGGGGTAATGTCACGTATTCATCCGCTTATAAAAATGTGGTTAATGGAATTTACTGTCCACACAGGAAAAGTTGTGCCGAGCAGCAACCATATCCACAGAAGGGTTAATGCTGAGCAGCAATTATGCAAATGAGAACCTGGTAACTGCCTTTGGGGTCAAAGGCCAGTTACAGCCTATCAGATCTAGAGGAGGGGTATTTAGGCCCAGTTCTCATCATACTCAGTGCCCTGTTGTGGTTTCACTTGTGGTTGTTTGATTCAATCAAGTGCGTTCCTGATTCAATTTTCTTCTGGTTTTTTACTTTGGCTTTGATTTTGACTTCCCTGTATTCTGTATCCCTGACTTCTGGCTTTCTCTTATCGTTGTGTCTCTTTCTGTATCCCCTGACCTCGGCAAGTATCCTGACTATTCTTTGGTATGTTAAGTCCGGCCATTCTAAGGCCCGGTAATACGTTACCTATTAGTCATCTGTGTGACACAATTCTACATGCTGAATCAACTAATAATCCTGACAGTGTTTATGGAAGGCTGTGCAAGTCACATGCAGGGAGGTGTGACTACGGTTCATAAACAAAGTGATTTAACTCCTAAATGGCAGATAATTGAGCAGTGAGACTGCAGAGGCATGATCTATACACCAAAACTGTTTAATTAAGCTAAAGTTGTTTTGGTGAATACAGTGTCCCTTTAACTACAAAGCTGCTCTAGCACAGGAGCTTTTTTTTTTCCTTTTGATTTACTTGTTTTCCACATGGCTTGAAAAACCAACATCATTTGTACCATCCAAATGAAAGTGTTAAGAACAGTAACAAGGTTATTCACTAAAGTAAAAACTGTCAGGAGTGCAATGTGAATTCAAACTGTCTAAGGCCAAAATAGCCAAACCAGAAGTATAGGTTACTTGGAGAATTTTTCTATTTTGGCTGTTTTTCCAATAAAAAAATTAAAATTTGCTTTAAACTCCAGCCAATTCTCACTTTAGTAAATAAACCTGCACGTTCTATTTTGAGTTTGAACTCCACATAAGTTATATAAAAGTTGATATAAAAGATATATCTCATTGTTTCCTTTTTTTCACAGTGTCAATTTTGTGACAAAAGTTTCATGAACTACTCATTCCTTCAAGGACATATTCAGAGACGACACCCTGAGATCACAGAATCTGGTACGCATTGTGTTTATGTAGTGTATATGAATCTGACTTGGATATGAATATAATGATGATGTCAGACCACAACAAGTAGCTGTACCTTGGGCTTGTCCAAGATTGGAAGCTATGAAAATACTTACTTCAGGAATATGATGCCCCACCTTCCATAGCAGTGCTTCTCAAACAAGTCCAGAGGGGTGACTAAAAGTATGATTCCCAATCTGAAGATAATTTCATAATTCCTATATTATAGACTATTTGTTATCTTTACTGAAAGGTTTAAGAACCAGTGCCTAATTATATAATGTCCATATGCTCTCATATGTTTCTGAACTGCATTCCTACAATTTTCAGCCATTGTTCAGTAGCTGTTCAACCAACAGAATATTAACCCCATTCACTATCAATTCCAGTGTTGTGGATGTCCTGGAAAGTAATCACCACCACCAGAATCCAAGTATTTTGAGGGTTTTAAAAAATAATGTATTTTTTCATTTCAGTATGACATGTTATTTAACGGAAACAAAAACTTTGACCGGAAAAACTTAAAAAAATTATTTACCAAATAATGTTTTAGATAGGAAAAAGTGTTGTAAATAACATTTCTGTATATGCAACATAGACATTTTTTCCTACATATTCTATAATTGTCTCAGATATACATTATATCATATTTACTCAGATTGCGCATATAAGTGTGTCCCTGGTGGTCTAGTAGGTACTGTGTCGCAAATCTGTACCTCCAGCTGGATGCAGACCTCTCTGTATGCTCCCATCTTGCCTGTGACCACAAATAAGCACTGGCAGTGATCTGCACCCATTGGATGTGCAGACTTCATCTCTCTCACTGTTGTGAGAGAGTAGAGATCTGCTGAGGAGATCTTTAGATCCCCTCACTGGTCGAGCTGTGGCAGCACATCCCACAGAGCAAGAGCTTTAATAGTAGCACTGGATCTGTCTCTCACAAGGGACACTATACCCACAGTAGAAAGTGTACCATTTGCAAACAACATTTTTTGCAATAAATAAATTTCACTTGCAACTGGTGAAATCACATATATACAATTATTTGATATGGGAACATACCCTGGGAATTGTGTATGCACGAGTCCGTTAATGAAGAGGTTAATAGTATATTACTTTAGTTTGGTTTTGTAACTATGTGCTTTGGCTTAAATATTGTTGTCTCTATGGGTTATAAAAGAAACTGGGTACATCTTTCTAAGAAAATGCATTTAAACCTATAATCACAAAAATAACCATCATTATTTCAGGACTATAGGTGCTCTGATAGTGATCACTGTCCACCCCTCTTTGCTCAATTTATATTAACTATAGTTGACTCCTTCATAGGGTAAGACTCACAGAGAGCCAGGTTGACATCAGTGGGACTTTAGACCCTCCAATCTCATCTTTCCTCATTTTACCTCATCCTTCCTTTTTTGATCTAAGGTTTATCTTGTTTTGGTATGAAATGCTGAGGTTTCTGTAAGCTATTCAGACATTTGATACTGAATGTTCTCCTACTGTAGGACATCACCGCTTATTACCTCTTGGCATTAGTTTGTCTCACCCCATTTTATGTCTGTTAGTCATTTTATTCCCTTAAATTAGTAAAGTTAGGGTTTCCCTCCCTACGTTTGGTCATTCTCCTATCTAGGTCCCCCTCTTATTGAGGGTTACCAATCTTTGTATAATGTTGACTCATCTTGTTTCCAGCACTTAGATTCCTCCACTGCAGCCTTCAGCTCATCTTCTAATGTCAGCATCCAAGTTGATGTCACTTGTGATATCGTCCAGTCCAATGCTTCTCACAGAGAACCAGGGGATTAGAAATAAGTATGCACAGCCATACGCTTTCAGTAACATTTGATTCCAGGATCAAGCGCCTCTTGTGGCTGTCTTCATGATTCCTACAACACTACAATAATTTGTATTGCAGTGTTCAAATAGCAGGAACACTGCACTCAGATCACTTCATTGACTAGATAGGTTGCATTCTATGTTTGTATACCTAATGCTATAGTGTTCCTTTGAACCCAAATTCTTTCATACAACAGATTAGATGTCTGACTTCTTCCCCCAGGGCATATGTATACATATTATTATCCATTGCATGTGGTATGTTTTAAATTGCCTTTCAATGTAAAATAAAATATAAAATAACACCTTCTCTGCCCCTCTACCTGAAGAAGAAAATAGTCTGTCCTTGTTCTGTAGACAGTTGCTTTGTCTTGTAATGATGGGCTCTATATGGGATAACATTTGTGGAAACCCCTAAATTAAACAGTCCTATACATATTGCTGTTCTTATTGCAGATAGGCAAAAGAAGAAGCAGGTGGAACAGATGGAATTCGGCATTGAGGAACTAAAGGCTAAGCTACAGATTACACAGTCTCAGCTGGATGCAGAGAGGGAGATGGAGCATCAAAGAAAAATGCAGGTACAGTCCAAGTTTATTTTATCATAGATATTATCATTTCAAGTTTCTAGAAGGTAGATCCCAGGATGTTTTAAAACTACAGTTTCAATTATGCTTTGTCATTCTAAAGGCATGCAAAGCATTATGGGAGTTATAGTTCTACAACATCTGGGGATCTACCTTTTGGGCACCTCTGAGATATACACTGCTAGGATTTTTAAAACGTGAAAAAATACAAAATGTATTTCTGTGAAAAAATCTGACAGATTTTGTCCAAATTCTGTTTCGTGATATGTAGCCTATGCACAGCCATAAATGTTGAATTTGAATCTATGGAGGTTTGTCATGTCTTGCTTTCACAACAACTTAATAGTTAAATGCTACCAGAAGGACTTCAACTCCAGGACCAGAAGTGAACTTTATGAAGCATTCCAAAATGTTGACACTACAGACAGTTCATTTTTTGTTTTTGGTCTTTTTGGATCACAACCTACCCTTTGATTTAAAAAGCTTTGTTTAAAGGAACACTCTACCTTTAGTAATCATGCTAGAGTGTTTAAAACTCAATTAAGATTAATGTCACATCAGTTTCCCTAAAAACTAGTTAACTTACCTCTTAACTGCAATCTTTAAGTTTGGATTCCAGTATTGTTGAATGGGTAAGGCAGTGGCTGAGTGACAGGCAACAGGGGGTTGTAGTTAATGGAATATATTCGAAGCTTGGACTTGTCACCAGTGGGGTACCTCAGAGATCTGTACTTGGACCCATTCTCTTTAATATTTTTATTAGTGATATTGCAGAAGGTCTTGATGGTAAGGTATGTCTTTTTGCTGATGATACTAAGATATGTAACAGGGTTGATGTTCCAGGAGGGATAAGCCAAATGGCAAATGATTTAGGTAAACTAGAAAAATGGTCAGAATTGTGGCAACTGACATTTAATGTGGATAAGTGCAAGATAATGCATCTTGGACGTAAAAACCCAAGGGCAGAGTACAGAATATTTGATAGAGTACTAACCTCAACATCTGAGGAAAGGGATTTAGGGGTGATTATTTCTGATGACTTAAAGGTAGGCAGACAATGTAATAGAGCAGCAGGGAATGCTAGCAGAATGCTTGGTTGTATAGGGAGAGGTATTAGCAGTAGAAAGAGGGAAGTGCTCATGCCATTGTACAGAACACTGGTGAGACCTCACTTGGAGTATTGTACACAGTACTGGAGACCGTATCTTCAGAAGGATATTGATACCTTAGAGAGGGTTCAGAGAAGGGCTACTAAACTGGTTCATGGATTGCAGGATAAAACTTATCAGGAAAGGTTAAAGGATCTTAACATGTATAGCTTGGAGGAAAGACGAGACAGGGGGGATATGATAGAAACATTTAAATACATAAAGGGAATCAACACAGTAAAGGAGGAGACTATATTTAAAAAAAGAAAAACTACCACAACAAGAGGACATAGTCTTAAATTAGAGGGGCAAAGTTTTAAAAATATCAGGAAGTATTACTTTACTGAGAGGGTAGTGGATGCATGGAATAGCCTTCTAGATGAAGTGGTAGAGGTTAACACAGTATAGGAGTTTAAGCATGCGTGGGATAGGCATAAAGCTATCCTAACTATAAGATAAGGCCAGGGACTAATGAAAGTATTTAGAAAATTGGGCAGACTAGATGGGCCGAATGGTTCTTTTCTGCCGTCACTTTCTATGTTTCTAATCCAGTTGAGATATGGTCCCTTGCTACAGCTCTGCCCCAGCTGGGAGATCGTGAGCTGGGAGATCCCAGCTGGGAGAACTACCAGCTCATCCAATGCTTCTCACAGAAAAGATTTGCAGGCAACATCTATTCAGGGTGCATGAGCAACACATATCACACTAAGCTTATATTGCTTCTCAGTTAGAAGCATTGGAACCACTGCTTCTCTGTGAGAAGCCATCATATCCTCTGTGTGGTGAGGAACAAAGTGAAAGAGGAAGAGTACCTTCCCAGCTGTCTGACTGACTGCCTGGAGGGTGCAATGTAGACACACAATTTCTTGGAAATGCTGCCAAGGCCTGATCTATATGTTGTGAAAGTATATAGTGTTTTGCCATTGCTAAGACAACCCATAAAATGTAATTCTTATCACTTTTTTTGTCCGAGATATTCAAAAATTGCGAATAGACGGCTCAAAGTTGTGTATCCTAGGTTCTTCCTGAGAAAGGTCTCTCATACCTCTCAGCTGTGTAGAAGAGATACATGAATTTAAATATGAATCCTAATTTTCCTTTAAAGACAGGTAATTTTAATAAGTAGTAGAGACAGATGTCAAAAATACAATGTTCATTAGTCAGCAACCTAATTTTAACTCTTACCTTCTGACATGCAGTGTGAAGTGACTTACACTTCTCTAGTAATAACCTGCAATATCCTGTGTGCTACAATCCATATTATATTAATATATAAATCTATAAATATTAAAACCTGTTTGTGCACCAGATGATAATTGGCCTTTAAAATCCAAGGTTGCTGCCAAATGTTCTGCAGCAGTGCCATCTAATTCGGTTTGTAACAAAATAAATTAATTGGCAGGAGTTGGAAGAAGCTCGGCACCGTGAAGAAAATGTGAAGAGAGACTTCGAGAGGTGGAAGGAGGAAGAGAGAGTAAAAATCCAAGATGAGATTGATAAAATCAGACAGCAGTTCTTCTCTCAGCTTGAGGATTTAACCCTAAAAAACTCTACATTTGAAAATGTAAGTAATATCAAGATAGGTCTAAACTGGAGCAGCCTGCTTGCACACAGTGTGGAGAACACAGCCTTGCATTTATCAAAAATGAAATCAATGGAAAATATTTTTTGACTATTGTTATTGCAACACATTTCAGTGTCTTACGCAATCTTTTTTCAAGGCCTGTGTTGACAAACTTGTTGTGTTGTGTAATAATATAAATTCTTTGAAATATGTAAAAGTGCCTATAATGATGTCTCCTTCTCTTTATGCAATTCTCTTGTAATTCCCTGATGAGTTTTATCATACCTTTTGACTTTGTATCAGCATTCCAGGATTTTGAAACCTACATATTGAATGTGAAGGTGTCACAGAGTCCACAGCACAAACTATAACAACTGCATGTAGGAAACTGTCTTGCGCTAGGCACTTTTTTTCCAGATCTAGGGGCTACATTAAGGCCATGTCAAGACTACTTCATGGGTTTACAATATATTTTGTATTCATACATAATTAGTCATGTGACAAAAAAAGATTTGTGAAGGTTTACATAGTTACACATTTTTATTTAAACAACAGTGATCTGGTAAGAAATAGAGAAAAAATACATATCTTTACACTAAGATATGACGTGACTTATAAAATCAGCTGCATATTGGCTGAAAGTTGTTATGGTGCAAGGAGATCCCAGGCTTACCTGAAGGGTCCCTAATCACTTTCCCCCTGCACTTCTGTTCTGTTATAAGCACATTTAAATGAACATTGTCAAGCTACATTGCACCATCATGCTATTTAATAATTTGCATGCAGTGGTTGTGAATTAGAGTTTCTCAAACATTTTTAGATGACATTTTGCAATCTGATTATCAATTCACCATAGCACAATGCTTTATGAAAAAACTCCAGTATTCAAAGTGAAATGGTAGAATATTAATTTGTGGCTAATTTAGAATCTCATCTCTGTGTCTTTCTGCCATACTTCAATGACATAAATTAGAGATTCCAGGACCTGGTAAATAAAAAGTCCATGACCTCCAATCTCGGGGAACTTGAAGACGAGGAAGACCGACGTTTACGAAAGAAGATGGAGAAGGAATTGAGAAACCTGAGAGATGAGATGGAAAGACAGGTAAATCATATACCTAATGAGTAAGATCCACACCACTCCAAATAAAAAAAATATTTCTACACGTCTATCTGTTTATCAATGACTATATTTGACAGTTAAAGAGAAAATATAAATCTTGACATACAAGTAGTTTTAAATCTGGAATATCAAAGTTTCTAGCATTCATTATTAAAAAGACACTCCAGACCCCCAAAGTACTTTAGCTTGCTGAAATGGTTTGAGTGAAAAGTATGTTGTCTCTTTTCATTTTGCAAAAAGTGAAGATTTCAATAGAAATTTGCATTGTTTAACGATCTTTGTTACACCCCTGAGGATTTCAATAAGACAGCCGGCCCTGTTACTTCCTGGAGTTAAACTCAATATATATACATACACCTATTTACATTTTTAGATATTATTCCACCCATAATTTCCATAATGTTTACTTTTGTCTAAGGGGTCATAGGGCTGAATAACTGCTTAATATTTTTTATTTTTTTTCTCTTAATGGCCTTTCTGATTTAGGATTATATCAGATATAGGAAAGTTTTCTATTTCAAATCTAATGTGATGCTCTTCTGAGCAATTCAGTCTTGCATATGACTATTCTATAAACAATCAATGCTCTATGCTAGGAGTAGGCATCTCAATTAATGCTTTACCAGCATCTGGAGTGCCAAGGTTGTCTACCCCTATTCTATGCTATCCTATGGATGTTGCTAATTAGTCTTACAAAAATATGATATGTTTATTGATTATCTATTTATATTAAGGAAGCTGAATGGAAAACCACATTGAAGGAGATGCATAAAGAGCACGGTGTGGAGAAGAAAGAGGTAGTCTCTTAAACTAGTGCAAAACATTGCTTTTTTAATTTGAGGATCATTTAAAGAGTAAATCATTAAAAGTATTTGTTTAATTATTTTTTCTCAAATGACCTGCGTTTATTTCTCTTCTAAACCTGAGACACACTGTCCTCCAACATTGGGAATTAATAGTAGTTTCTCAACTTCTGTTGAGTAATGGGAAAACGTTGCATTTTGAATAAATTGTTTTCTTCATTAAAACTTAAAGAAAATAAAAAACAAATAATTAAACATTTAACATCGAATCAAGTCACTCTTACATCAGGAAAACACTGACTGGTCTCTGCCAGGCAAACCTTTACAAAATCCTACACATCCATTTTCACTTACAGTTTTTGACTTCTGTTTTTGTTAAACACTCCACTACCTTCTTCTATGCTCATTTGCATTTTAGCTGTGCATATACATTATTTACATTGTTGATAGGTGTTAAGGTAATGTGCATTAAATCAATAATGTCACACTGTATTTTAAAAACATGACCCTGATGAAAATGTTTTCTATAGCCAGGAGCCCTCTAGGCAAGGAGAAGCCACATTTAAGCAACAAAGAGAGACAGAGCATTTTTAATTCCATATATGAAACTATAGAAATTTTCCATTCGCCAAGTAGAGCCCACATCAATTGTTTGTTACAACAGGTGTGATATTAAGTTGCGTTTGTGAAACGGCACCTTTGAAGATTGTTAAACCAAAATCCAGCAGTTAAAAATCTTTACACATACAAGAGATGGGGTTGCTTTGAATTTGCCTGCAAACTAAAATTATTTTTGTTTTGAGGAACTCAGTAGTGTTAGAAATACAAAACAGTATTCTAACACAACAGTGTTCCTTTGCCTCCATCCACCATTCTAGTCCCTTTGCCAGCCATGAAAGGGTTAATTAACCTTTTAAACACTTACCTGATTCTGACGTCAGCGTGATCTGGGAACCTAACGCACATGTGTGGCCAGAATCAGGCCGTCTACATGGGAAAGCATTGGCTCATTGCTTTTCTATGGAGATTTGCAAGATACTGGATGTCTTCATGTACAGCAGGAGGACGTCCAGCGTTGGTTCACTGAGTTAATTCTCTTTACGTTAAAGTCACTTGCCGTCAGCAAGACCCCTTAAACCTGTTCAGGGGAAGTTCAGCCAGGCCAGACATTGCGGTTTCTCTAAAAAGGCAATGTTTTCACGTGAAGGGGAGAGGAACACTGCACCCAGACCACTTTAATGAGATGAAGTGGTCTGGCTACCTATTTGAGCACCACATTTAATAAAAAAACATGGCATATCTGTATACAGATCCAGTAGTTGCCCTTAGTAACACACACAGTGGGATCAGATTACACCAAATATTGTTGTTTTGTGCAATATAACCTTTTTAACGTCCTTGGTGGGTTTTTTTTTAATTCTTTCTGCTGTAATAGTTTGTGATATTATTGTCACATATTTATAGTAGTTTTTTTTATTTTTTACTAAAGCTTCTCAACGAAAATAAAAGACTGAGAGCTGCAATGTCAAATGATCAGCAGTCAGCAAATCAGCAATTTGAGACACATTTACAAACCCTCAAATCCAAGATACAGAATCAGAAAACACTCATAAAGTCACAAGAGAAAATGGTATGTAATAAATACACTTTGCGAAATACTCGTTTTATACACAGCACTTATTGTGGAGACTATAAGGGTTAGTTTATTAAACAAAGCTTATGAGAATATTGCAGATTTGAAAAGCAATACAACTCAGCAATTCTGTACTAACGTTTCCAATTTATTTGACATGTTAACTCATATTGTGTGTTTGTGAATATTCGTCTATATCTCTTAGTCACATAAATATACTTTAAAGGACCACTATAGGCACCGAGACCACTTCAGCTTAATGAAGTGGTCTGGGTGCCAGGTCCAGCTAGGTTTAACCCTTTTTTCTATAAACTTAGCAGTTGCAGAGAAACTGCTATGTTTACACTGAGGGTTAATCCAGCCTCTAGTGGCTGTCTCATTGACAGCCGCTAGAGGCGCTTGCGTGCTTCTCACTGTGATTTTCACAGTGAGAAGACACCAGCGTCCATAGGAAAGCATTGAGAATTCAGCCGAGGAGGAGGAGCAGAGGCGGAGAGGAGGAGGAGAGTCCCCCGTCCGGCGCTGGAGAAAGAGGTAAGTTAACCCCTTCCTCACCCTAGAGCCCGGCGGGAGGGGGACCCTGAGGGTGGGGGCACCCTCAGGGCACTATAGTGCCAGGAAAACAAGTGTTTTACTGGCACTATAGTGGTCTTTAATCAGATTGACCGTGCATTTCAGTTTTCTGTTTTGTATAGGGGAAACTACAGGCACCCAGACCACTTTATCTTATTACAGTGGTCCAGATGCACTGTCTATGTTACCTTAACTCTGCAGCGGAAAACATTGCAGTTTTAGAGAAACATGTTTTTATTGTAGAGTTAAGACTGCATCTAGTTGCTGTCTGCCACATAAGGATATCCAGAGTCTTTTAAGACCCCATAGGAACGCATTATTTCAATGCTTTCCTATGGGTAAGGCGTAATCTGCACACTAGGTTCCCCCTCGCGATGATGTCTGAAGAGGCTTAGACAGAGCAAGCGCCGAGGGACTTCGGTGCTGGAATTGGGTGTTTAACCCTTTTATTGCCAATGGGGTGTGGTGGAGATGGGCACTATAGTGTTAGGAATGCAGCTTTGTATTCCTAACACGTTAGTCTGCAGTTAAGGAATAGCACACACAAAAAAACAAAACAAAACAAAGAAATACAGTTTTGCATTTTAAAAGCACCTATATATTTATTCCATATTGCTTTACTAGCTTTCTTCACAAAAATTAGTGCAGTTTATTCTGTGTTTGACCTTTGAGGGACATTTCTCTGTACCTTGATTGATTTTTGATATTTTGCAAATGTCCTTGATATATCTATGCACTTTAAAAAGAGATTTTTTTTTTTTGATTTTTTTTTAAAAGCACCCATCTTAGCAAACAAAAATGGGGATTCAGTTATCCATGTGGTCATATGGTATTAAGCCCACCACTACGCCACAGTACCCCAATATCGGTTAACATGGGCAATAAACATGCCGACTGCAATACTTACTGCTAAAACTGATTTCAGAGATTCTCCTCAAATTTATGCTTTCATGTGTTCATCTCCAAAGGAGCACCTATAGTGGAGAGACGGGGTGCTCAATCTGAAAGGAATCTGGAGAGTTAGGGACAGCTCACACACACACAAAAATACAGCTTTACATATTATAAGACCAAAATTACTGACTTCATCAGAAGTTGCATTTTTCAAACATATAAATGTCACTCCAGTTGACATATTATTTTTAACATTTTAAGCTCTCTTATTGGAATCATTTCTAAGCACAGCAAGCGTTTCTCTCAGTTGCAGAACTATTGTCAGCTTTCTACTGTAGAAAACCAAACTACAACTCACAGCAATTTTAGTCATGGTATCCTTTACAGCAGTATTTCAAATCAAAGGAAATATCGCACGTTGAATTGGAGGGGACGAAAGTGTGAGGCTTTGGAGGCACCTTTTGTTTTTCATATTAAAATGATGTCTCTAGACCCATGAGTGACATTATTTTCCAATAATGCATGTTTCATTCATGTTTGCTGTTTTTTAATCTTACAGATAAAGGATCTAAGTACAAGCAGAGAAGGTAAGAGAGCATTTACACTTATGGAATAATGCATGTAAGCATGAAATTAAATATTAAGTGAATTTGCTAGTTGCCAGAAAAACTGAAAGATCAAATCAGAAACACACTGATTGAAAATTACTAGTATTGATTTCGGGCTGACTTCCAAACTAACACCTTCTAACATCTTCCAACATATGTTATTTTTCCTGTTTTTGGCCAACATTCTTCCAGTATAACAAATGAAAAAAAACTAATAAAACAAACATGTCTATAGTCCACGAAAGAGTGTACAATGACATCACCAGGCAAACCATACGAAAATAAGACTTGCCTGAGGATACAGTGTGATTAGTTGGCTTTACAAGAATAGGAATGTCTTTTTTATTTGAATAGACCTTTATTCTCGAGCCCTCAAGTCAATAAACTGAAAGTTATGGATTTTCTTTCTTTTACTACTTGTAATTTGCTTGCTTTTTTATTTCAGCACAGTTGTGTCAAGTTTAAAACTTGGAGGGTTTTTTGTGTGTGTGTGTGTATTTTAGAACAGTTCTGTCAAGTTACAAAGGCATTTTTTTGACTAAGATCTTCGAGTAAGACTTGTAGGGTTATTCACTAAAGTCCAAATGGCCCTGTGTCAAACATTCAGACTGAAAAACTCGGACATTGCTAGCACTATTTTGCAAAGTACAGATTTTGCAATTCCGGTCCCGAATTATTTATTTATAATGGTTTTACAAGTCGACTATAGTCACAGCTTGGCCATTTTAGCTTCTGTTTGGAAGTTATCTTTCAGTGTTTATTAAATACATTTGAGGTGTGTTTCTGAATTTATTTAATGCACGTTTACAGAATTTTTTAACTAAAATGGAAAAATAAAACCTTAAGGGGACACTATAGTCACCAAAATAACTTTAGCTCGGTGAAGCAGTTTTATAGTGGAAGCAAAATTCCACCACTGTTTTGCCATATATTCATATGACATTATGGATGAAAGTAAACAAATAAATAGAACATAAGATAAAATATAAAAAAAAAAAACAGATTTATGAAATTGTGCCAAACAAGATCTGAAAATTAGACTGAAAAACTAGACTTATAATAGATCTCACCCAGAATTTTGTCTTATTGCCCTCTATCTATATTTTCAATATCTAGTATTTTTGGGTAAACGTTTCAAATGATTTTTTTCAAAATGTTAAAATATAAAAAAAATCATAGCAAAACATATCAGTATAATAATAACAAATATCAAAATATTAGAAAAATAAAACATTTTTCATACTATTAAATCATTTTAAAAGTTTATCCAAAATATTAAACCATTAGAAAAGCTTATCCAACCACTAATTGGAGGTTTTTTTGTTATCTGAAATCTGAAAAATGCAGAGCTTATAACAATGATTAACAGAGCAAAGATAAGGAAGCACTCAGTTTCAATACAGCTGTAAACGGGGATGTAGATTTCTGTAATTTTTTTTTTTTAAACAAATATTTGTTAAATATAGAGCATAAATAAACAGAAATTAAAAAATATTGGAAAGGGACAATTCTCTTTAAAAGTTTACATACCTATGTAAGCTTATCTCTGTATTTCAATATAAAAAAATATATTTATATTACTTCATTCCCTTTTAATACAGCCTAATTAATAGAAAAAATTAGTGTAGAGGTTTGCACTTTGTAGACACTATAATGCATGTACTCTGTATGTTACACAAAATGAATTTAACCTCACATTATTATATTAGTGGTGGAAAAATCCTGCTTAGAGGTTTCTGTTTTAGGATGATATATTGTATAATACATTTGTCATTAAGTTGTTGTAAATTGGGCTGTTTTGTGTGTATATAATCTGCTCTATTTTGTGCTTTTAATGCAGTGCCGCAAGTGGTTTTGCCAGTAGGTGGCGTGAAAGAGGAATCGAGTGAAGATGGTATGTATGAGTTATACAGGTTCTTACTGCAAATAGTGATAACATGTTAATATATTAGGCAATAAATATCATTCTACATTCCAAAAAACATTATTATTATTTAACAAATATTTTATTTAACAAAACTAAGCATTTGTTTTAAAGAAGTAGCTTCCACATAACTAAATATTAGGTTTTTAAAGTTTTCAAAAATTAGCCTTCAAAATTATTATATCCACTAATATTGAGCAAAAAAGGCTGTGAAAAAATTGTCTTTATTGTGATCATGTGTTCAAAAAATAAAGATAATCTGCTCTCATGGATATGAAACAATGCCAAACACAACAAAAAAAATATGTGTTAAATATATGTGTACCACAATTACTGGCACCCTTATGAATTCATAGGAGAAAACTTTATTTTAAGTATTTTCCCATTGATATTTTACATTTTTAGTACACCTGGGTGATTAGGAACAGGAAATAGTTTAACCATGACTTCCTATTTTGCAGGGGTATAAGTATGAGGTAACACATAGACCAAATTGACTTAGTCATTCATCACAATGGGTAAGACCAAGGAATATGACTGTGGTGTGCAGCACAAAATGGGCTTTACAAACTGGGAAATGGCTATAAGAAAATAGCAAAAGCATCAATATTGATACCTCTGTGAAACAGTTTTCAGTACTACTATGTAAATACTACTTAAGGTACAATAGGATGTAATGTTATTGACACACAAAGACATCCATCTAAGCAACAACCATATGATATTCTAATCTAAATATTTGAATACAATAACAGACATAGATGAATATCCAGACCATAACCTGAGAATCATTGAGGCATTAAGAAGTGATCCAAACTCTGCCCGACAGTTCCGCAATATCTTGGAAGAAACATTAGTAGAGAAGCTTGAAAGTATTGGTGTCAAAAAGGTGAGTAAATTGTAACAGATCATATTCCTCACCTTTTGTTTTTAATTGGTATATGAAAATATTTGGATATTAACATAATATACCCTTTGAAGTTACACATTGCACTTGTGAATAAGAGATCAACATCAGATGATACAGTGCTTTAAAACAAACCACAAAATAAAGTGGGAGTTGTGTTATCATTTAAAGGACATACCTGCATTATGTAAACTAATAATGAAGTACATGACCCAAATTATCATTTTGTTTTAATTTTTTTTATTTCTTTCTAATTTTTTACAAAGGGTGCAAAGGGAGTTCCGCTAGCTACCTATAAGAGTCTCAAAGCCCTTCTGGCAACACAACTTCAGCAAAAAATCAATAAATACCCTGAAATTGAAACAATCAAAGTCAAGTTAAATAAAGTTCTTACCAGGCGGGTTAAACAATGGAGGAAGAATGAAGATACTCAATTCAGCCCTACCAACCTCTCACGTAAGAAGATAATATTTTAAATGTCTGACAAAAAATGCACTATAAAATATGTATGGATTATAATTTACTCCACAATAAAATAAATGTATCATGAATGGTTTGCATATGTCCTAGATATATCATGATAATAGTCACTCATGTAAAAACAAATCTTAAATCCGGTTTGTAGCTCGGAATCCAAAGAGTCCACGCAGCATACGTCCTCCTGATCAGGTGATGCAATCCAGGAATATGGTCACAGTTGAATCTCATAAGCCTATCACCAAGGCACCAGTGCCTTCTCCAAGAAGGAGAATGATGGGACACCAGAATGACTCTGGAATTACCAGTGTTGTTCCATCCATACCACCAAGGTGAGCTAAACTGTCTGTATAGTTGATTTTCTTTTGTCCTTGTATTCAACAATTTTAATTGGTCAGGTATAAAATGCAGAAAACGTTGTTAGCAAAATAAAACTTAGCTTTTATTAAAACATATTTGTAAACTGTACATACAATTTATAATCAATCCGAAGTAATCACACAATACTATTACTCTTTATATTAACAAATTAAATTGCACTTTTCCTGCATGTTATAAAGCAATCAAAAATGAAAAGCAAAATCTAAACTCTTCTAATGTGAGTCAAAGGAATAACACATCCATTGAAAATCATAGAATAGAGTAAGGGGCCAGTTATCTAAAAATAATAAAGGAAAAACCTCTGTTTGATAAACATAGCTGTAGTCAACCTGAGTCACTTTACAATATCCCAAAATGCAGGCGCACAGCAGTTCAGAGTGACAAGTTGATGTTCAGAAGTCACTATATTAGCACATGATGTTAGTACTCATAGAATATGGTCCAGGCCACCACCGATTCTGGTTTAAACCTTTTCACCTCTACCACAGACCATGTAGTCCATAATTGTTTCACAGGTGCTGGTGTGTTTTGCAGTTTGTCTAACTACTGTAAAGTGCAACAATGTACCATTTTCAATTTGATTGAACACTTGAATAACCTTTTCCTGCCTTCCATCAGGACTCCTCCATTCACGTCAGAAGATGACTCCTCTAAGGCAGACCCCACGTCTTTTAACACCCCAAAACGCAAAGCAACCCAAAACCTTCAGACAATTCCCAGAAAACAGAAGCAGATGGAAACATTTAGTGATGACGACTCATTGTTTGACTCAGACACCTCTCCTGAGAAACCAAGTCCTAGATCTGTGACCTTTTCAACGGCAAAGACAAACCAAGGTTAGAATCCTACACCTGAAAAGCACAAGGCTGTGCCAAACTAGGAGAATGGCTTCTGTACAGGTTACTAAACACTTTGCTGATAGTTTTGGTATCACTGTATAAAGTACTCTACCCCTCCCCCCCCCCCGCGATCAATACATACCTGCCATCGCGATCCTGGTCTGAGGGACTGCCTGACTCCTGTGCAGAGCAATCACATGACCATGCTGTGCCTGCACTGGAGCTGTCAGGCAGTCTGACAGCCCCACTGTAAAATAAAAAATATTTTTGTTCTATAATATTTTTGTTCTATATTGAATTATTTTACAGGGGGGCTGTATGTGTGTATGTATATATAGATATAGGGAGATAGAGAGATGCCCTGTTCAGGCTCCGATCCTGACTGGCTAACACAAGGCAGAACAATACTGATCATGAAAGACCCTCACAAGGGAACAACACCATTTAAATAACCCACCTCCCCACAACATGAAAAACTCCTGTCAGGCATTGTAGCCTCCAAGATCCAAGGGTATATGAGTCAATCTATGAGCAAAACTCAGAAGGGGATTGGAAACAACACCAGAGGATCAAAACACCAACTACTATTAGACCAATCAGTCACAAGGGATTCTAGGACCTGACAGAGCAATCTGTGCACGGCCTGGATTGACTACAAGAAAGATGACACAATGCCACACACATGTATACTGGAATGCTTGGCTCACTACAAGGTCAGCAAGACAATAAGAGCCTTCATCAAGAGCTCGATGGGCAAGTGGAAAACAACCCTAGAAGCCAATTTCAGTACAATAACTCAAGTGAACATCAAATGTGGCATATAGCAAGGTGATGCGCTATCCCCAATGCTGTTCTGCATAGGCCTCAACCCTTTTAGTCAGATCATCAAGACGAGTGGATACAGGTTCAAAAGTGGAGCTACCTACAGCCACCTACTCTACATGGACGACATCAATCTGTATGCCAAGAATGAGCGGGACATTGACTCATTGATCCACCTAACCAGGATATACAGCAAGGACATCGGAATGTCGTTCGGACTAGAGAAGTGCGGACAGATGATAGCAAAAAGAGGGAAGATGATTAGAACAGAAGGCGTTGAAGTTTCAGAAGGCCAAATAGAAGATGTAGAGAACAGCTACAAGTACCTGGGGGTACCACAAACACATGGCAACTATGAGGAAGACGCAAGGAGGATAGCAACATCCAAGTACCTCCAAAGAGTCAGACAGGTCTCGAAGTCCCAGCTCAATGGCAAGCCATCAACACATATGTCATCAGATACCCAGCTGGAAAAATAACCTGGCCAACAACTGGTCATCATGGATGTCAAGACCAGGAAACTACTCACTATGAATAGAGGATTCCACCATAAAACCAGCACCCAGAGACTGTACACCTACTGGAAGGATGGAGGTCTGGGCCTGATGAGTGTCAAGGCCACAGTCCTGTATGAAACACAAAGCATCCACAAGTACATCATGAAGATGGCTCCCAAAGATGAACTGCTAAGGCAATGCCAGAGACTTCAACAGATGGAGGATGCAGAAAAAGGTTCCTTGGCAAGACAAACCTCTCCATGGGGAGTACCACCGGCAGATAGTGGATGTGGCTCACATTACAAAATACTACCAGTGGTTGGAAAAGGCAGAGCTGAAAGACAGCACTCAGGCACTAATCCTAGCAGCACAGGAACAGGCCCTCAACACCAGGTCAATAGAAGGTGGAGTCTACCACACCAGGTAAGACACAAGGTGCCGACTGTGCAAAGAGGCCTCTGAGACAGTCCAGCACCTAGTAGCAGGATGCAAGATGTTAGCAGAAACAGCATACATGGAGAGACACAACCAATTATCTGGGATTGTGTACCGAAACATCTGCACAGAATATGGATTGAATCTGCCTAGATGGGAGATACCACAAAGGGTAGTTGAGAATGACAGGGCTAAGATCCTGTGGGACTTCAAGATCCAGACAGACAAGCAAGTGCTGGCCAACGAACCCGACATCGTGGTGGTACACAAGGAATGGTCACAATATTTTGGCCAGTGTTTCTACTAAAGTTTCTACTAACAAAACTGGACATACCACATTTTTCAATACCTTGGGTTGTCTCCTATTGCAAGCAGCATTCCATCAGGGGGGTAATTTTCATTCCTGGGCTACCATATGGTCTTTAAAGGCAACGTAACCAATCTGGCCGAATTTCAATGTGAAAAATATGAAACGCAAGCCTTCACTGAACACAAATATTTGTGTTTCAAAACAGTAAAACGTATCACAGCAATAATATCATCAGTGTAAGTGTGGTTTGTGTGTGAAAAATGCAAAAAACATCACTTTCACTGATGATATCATTGTTTTAATACATTTTACTGTTTTGAAACACTAATATTTGTGTTCAGCGAAGTCTCCCGAGTAAAACAGTACCTCTCATGTACAGGTTTTATGGTGTCTTGGAAAGTTATAGGGTTAAATATAGTGCTAGCAAATTAAATTCCCTATACTTTCAGCCTGGGTTGTCAGGCAGGTCCCGCAAATTGCAATTAATAAAATGACCTAATTATATAAAAATATTACATAGATATATACGTAGAATTAATAAATATATTATATTTATTTATATATATATATATATATATATATATATATATATTTATATTTTTTTAAATTATTTTTATTTATATATAGGGATATATTGGAAGGCATAGCCTGAAGTTGTGGGAGGGGTTACCTGGCTATTTAAAATCAGGCCCCCTACACCATAGGGCTGATGCTGCCTGGTTCATTTCTACTTCCGGTTCAAAGGTTATCAACACAGACTGCCTAAAACTCCAAACAAGCTGGTCTGGGCCTACTGTGGCTCCCACGCCGATCGGACAGTTTTTCCCTGCTCCAACAACTCCCATCCTGCTGTTCCAGCCACATGCGGTCAAAGACTCCCAAGCCGATCGGACCAAGTTCTCCCTGCTCCAACAACTACCATCATGCTGTTCCAGCCACATGCGGTCAGAGACTCCCATGCCGATCAGACAAAGTTCTCCCTGCTCCAACAACTCCCATCACGCTGTTCCAGCCACACGCAGTCAGACACTACTCACCTCCTCTCCAGAACTGGCCGCTGGCGCTATTAGACCCCTTACCATCTTCCCGGGCCTTTTCCTGGACCAAACCTCCGTGTCCACCAAGTCTGGGTACTTTCCAGCCGCATAGCTGACCTCTCACCTCACCGCAAGCTTCCGGGTCAAGTTATTTGTTTCCTCTACCAGTCAAATCCACGAACCGTGAGTCTACCTGTATGGGCCAAATCCATGAACACACAATTGTGCACACGTTTACGTTCTTACATACGTCCATTCTGGACTTTTTTCCGTTAAGGACTTAAGTCAGTTCACCTACTCCTGCCTGCTCTTCGTTCCATTCCTATTCGCTAGTTTATTTTCGTCAAATTTCTACCGAACTAGTCTCCAGTCTCTCAGTTACATGCTTCCATCTAGCGGCCACCACAATCATAGTACCAAGTTGTTAGTTTTACACTGTTTCCTGATACATGAATGTCCAGGTTCTTTTATGAAAGTATTTAGCCTGCTACTAGTTATCCTTACATGCCCCCTGTAGTTCGGTTATGTTTGCTATGTTTCTTGTTAATATTTAGGATTGTGCACGGATATTGTCAGTTTCTCATTACTAATTCAGCTCTTGTGTGTGTGTATATATATATATATATATATATATATATATATATATATATATATATATACTTAGATCATATAGATAATTATTATCTGTATGATCTAAGTATATATTTTATTTTAAACTGTGTTTTAACTTTTTTTACCAATTACAGGCAGCAGAGGGAGTACCTGTCGTTACAGGCACTCACCCTCCTGGCATTGCTATGGACGGCTATGCCGTCCATGTGATCATGAGGTCCTCGCAAGGACGGCGGGGGCGTTCTATGCCGCCCGTCTGCGTTTAGCACCGGGTCCCCAAGGACCGCTGTCCTTAAGGGGTTTAAACCTGGAAAGGAAAAAGCGTTATATTTGACCATGTAATTTTTAAAATTCCCATAAAACCTGTATACATGGAGGGTACTCCTGTACTCATGAGACATTGTTGAACCTAAATATGTGTATTTTATTGCAGTAAAAGATAACTGTATTATGACATTCACAGTTAAAATGCCACGCAGAACTTGGGAAATAACATTTCTTCATTTCATAACGCTTCTTCAGTTTTTATTCCTATAAATCTCTTACATATCTAAATATTTCATATATGAAATGAAAGTTCTGTTTCTACTGAACATAATTATACATAAGTGTGGGTGCACTTAATATGAAAGAGGTGAATTACGGTTGAACAGACATATAGTCAAATTAAATTTTTTGTTTACATTTTGTTTTGATGAGAACATGTACAATTGCCTCCATCCTGCAAGGATTATTGTAGATTCTGGCTTTCACACTACTAAAACTTTATGTAAACGCACATCTTAATGTCTCATACATTCCTTTTTTAAATACTATCGCTTTACTTGTATTTGCGCAATACATATATGTGCAGCTGTATATGTGTGCTTTTCTCTGCTGGTTTAAATTAGATTTTTGACTCTCCTCTGTTTATTTAATTGTTCTAGCTATTCTCAACCAATCTGCACGTTTCACTCTCAGACACATTTTCCGCTATTTATGACATCTGACACCTCTCACCCCCTCTCCTTCTCACATCAGTCGTTTTCAGTGTTAGTCTCTATCATATTGGCCAATATTGCTTCAGACTTGAACAAGAGCGAAAAATTCTCAAAAGCTTGTATTTTAAGTATTATGTTAGTCCAATAAAAGAGGTATTGTAAAAATTGTTTAAGTCAACTTTGCTTTCAGTCTGGCTACTCTGGCTTTAAATTTGAAATACACTTAAATTCTTACTTTAGTTAATAACCCCATTAATAATATACAGCTATCATCTAAAGCAACTTGTTTGAGCCATTATTTATTTCTTAATCAAACATATTTTGGGATAAATGGCAATTTATGTACATGGTTTCATTACTTTCTGCATTCGTGGTAACAGCCGCACATACCACGATTGCGTCCACAGTAATGTAAAACATATTACAGTATATGTTAATGAATAGGCCTGGTGAAAATTTTTCATTCATTATTAGACAGTTTTATCAGTGTCGACTGGTGAATTTTAAAGATGGTAGGGCACTGTTCTCCCTGACTTGCTGGGTTCCTCCAACGTAAGCCCCTGATATGCCGTGCCCTGTTCAAAACTAGCTGCATCTCCACTTATCTATAAAGGAGATAATGTTAACTGTAGATAAAATTATGACAGGCAGATGTTTGTTTTTTTCTACACATGTATTCCAATAAAATTGATTTACTTTTGATGCAACAAAAATTACCATCCAAGCTCCCCATGTGGACCAGCCTTCATTCAATTTGAAATAAACCATAATTAATTTTTATTTCTTTAGGGTCTCTTGTGCATTCCATGGCACAGAGTATAGAGAAACAACTTTCCAAACCAAGGCAGAAGCCAGTCGGAGGAGTGGAAACTATCAACTCTCAGTCCATGAAATCCCAAAACAGTCCAAGAAAAGATGAGAAAATGCATGTGAGTGAGACAGTGTTCTGTCTTTCCGGCATTCATTAAACCCAAGTCTATAAAACAATGTAATAATACTGTGATATTTTTTTCACAGCTGTCAGATATAAGTGACTCTGAAATCTCCTCCTTTGATGACATCACTGAAAACCAGGTCATTGGTGAGCAAAAGCCCCGACCTGCTCTTCGACAGAGTGCAGACTCCACAGGGTCACAGGGCACCAGTGTATGGAGTTCGTCAAGTATCAGAGCTGAGCGTTGGTGATAAGAGAAATATGGAGAGAACACACAACAAAAATGAAGTTTTCAGTTTTATGTCTTTACATTTTGAGCGATAAGGATGATTCCCTCTCTTGTTGTTTCATTTTTTGGCTAAATTGATTGCACTTTGCAAATACTACTACAACGAGGAATAATGCTACATGATGATTTACTATTAATTACTCTAGAGCAGGGGTGCCCAAAAGGCAGATCCCTAGATGTTTTAAAACACAGCTTCCATGATTCTTTGTCTTTCTAAAAGCATGCAAACCATTATGGGAATTGTAGTTCTACATCATTTGGGGATCTACCTTTTGGGCACCCCTGCTCTAGAGCTTTGTGTTTCTTTATAACCATTTCATATATTTATATTAATTCTTCATTTTTTTTCTATTTTAAACTTGTTTAGTGATGATTTTTTGTAACCACATCTCATTGTTTCAAAACAAGTTTATTCATTCAGTAAAGCACTATATGTGTATATATTATATATGCTAAATTCAGCAGAGATATCTATCCTCTAGTTTAATCACAATATGGGCATTGCGTACAATGGCTGAATCAGATGATCTTTGGGGTTCTCTCCTGCAGCCCCTGAACACTGGTAGGGACACAGAGTTAAAGCAGCGGGAAATCTATTTTAGTAATCAGTCTATTTTTATACTTTTTATACCAGATGTGAACTGGGTAGGGAACATTAGATCATGACATCATCTGCTACTAGGTTCCAAAATGTATCAAGTTTGTATTTTTATCGTGGACATGGGAAGAAGTATCAGACTTTTAAATGTTAAACCTTTGAAAAAAGAGAAGATTTTTTATATTTTTATGTGTAACTACCAAACATGTTAGTTTTCCAGTCATATTGTTATTTTTTTACCCTTGGTCAAATTCTAAGCCTCTTCTTATCGATTATTGTAAATGCAATCACAGGACATGACATGCTGTAATGACGCACTTGTGTTCAAATATTCAACTTCTTCAGAATGATTAATATGATGCTCTAATGAAGCTCACATATGAAGCCTGTTTTCTTTTTTTTTTTTATATATATCAATTCTTTTTTATTAAGCACAAGGTATTTATAAGACTTTTATGACAATACATTGGCACAATGTTCTGTACCAAGTCTTTCATGAAATCATAACCATTGAGTCCACGAAAATATTGAATGATTGAAGATGAGATATCAAAAGTAAACAATGTGCAACTTGATTTATAAAGATCAGTGTGCATTATTATTATTATTTTATTATTTATATAGCGCCAGCAAATTCCGTAGTGCTGTACAATGGGTGGACTAACAGACACGTAATTGTAACCAGACAAATGGACGCACAGGAACAGAGGGGCTGATGGCCCTGCTCAATGAGCTTACATGCTAGAGGGAGTGGGGTATAGTGACACAAAAGGTATAAGTAAGGGTAATGAAATAGGTTGCTAGAAAAGTATTCACTGAGAACTTTGGTTATTTTTGACAGTTTCAGGAGGGGATAGCAAAAGCATACATTATATGTTACCATACCATGAAAATGTTATAAAAAGTCAGCAGGATAGGTGAAATCTCTGCAAAAAAAATCACATTTCCTAGCTTTAAATTTGATGACGCACGCACATACACACAAGAATATAAATTGATGTTAATTTATTTTATTGATGTAATTTCAGATAAAAAGCCTCTTAAATAATGAGAGACACGTACTGATAAATCACAAAAGTAGTCATTAAAATTGCTATGTGTTATCAATTAACACTGCTTGTCATTTACTAATCCAGTACTGAGTTGTTTATACATTTTATAATTTGTACAACTGCAGTGATATTTGTCATGTGCTTTTTCCTTCACTATATTTCAGGGAATTCTGTCCACTGCTTAGATTGTTGTCGGTTAAAGTGCAAATTAACTTAAACAAGAAAAGTAATATGCAACTGTCATTAACATGCCCTCTTATTTTTGTCCCAATATGTGTATACAATATACTGTTGGTACTGTAATGTATACTGGCATTAACGGTAAAACGTTGCTCATTTCTATAAGGTTTGTTAATACATTGCACATGTTTTTTGTAAGCTTTTTAGTGAAAATAAAAATCAATTTGTAGTGTAGTTATATTTGAAATTTAAAATCAACAAATACAAATTAATGATTAATTATTTTTAAGTGCTTGTTATGTCAAAGAGTTTTCATTTCTGATTAACTTTGTCAACTGTTTCCCTTTAATAGTAACACCTATGATCTTTTTAAATTAAAAATGATCTTTATGTTAGCATCAATTGAAAAAGATATATATATATATATATATATATATATATATATATATATTTAAAATGTTTTATGGGTATAGGTTTCTAAAAAAAAATTATATATATATATTTTTATAATAAATATACTATGCATATATGTGTATCAATTGGTCCTAGTTGTGCCCTTATAATGTATTGATGTTCAGGGAAGTGCATATATATAATTGTAATTTCTAACATTAAAAAACATGTATTTAAAATATATATTTTTTATTTTTTTTACATTTTATTAATTTTCTAAATATAAATTCATACCTTATTCATTATCAAATAATTACATATAAAATGTAATCTTACATATATAGACATACAGTGTGGAGAATAGTGCATAACCTAAATTACCTTTTGAGCAGTGGAATGGGGCCAAGCCGTGCATTAAGGGGATTGATTTTCAATGTTTTATTTATATATTGTATTTTATATAATGCAATTTTACATATCCTTCAGATTTATACTGTTCATTGATTGCATCACATTTAGAGATAAAACAAAACAAAAACAAATAAATAAAAAAATTAAAATAAAACAAGAAATGCAAAAATTACATAACATAAATGTAACAAATTGTTAATTGCAATCATACTAACCATTCGCACCTCCATACTAAGAGTCTCTGAGGGGAAGGAAGGTCCAATTTATATTTAAAGGTTTATACTTATCTATGTAGTGTTAAGAATTTACATATTGTCAGAGTTTTTAGTTATAGAATTATTCATAGGTAACCACAATTTTTCATATTTTTCCGCTGTATCATTAATTATATAGAAGCTACATTCCATTCAATATTGATATAGAATTTGGTTACGTATAGACGGCCAATCTAGTCCCAGGGATTTCCAGTTATGTGCTATTAGATATTAGATATTCTTGAGATTTATTACAAGGTGGAAAACCAATATTCCATAGAAACCTATATTGAGTAAATTGATTGTTGTTAAATAATTTTTTCAAACACCTTTTAATTTGTAATTTAATATAATCTAATTTAGTACAGAGCCACCAAATATGTAATAAATTTCCTTTTTCCAATTGACATCTCCAACAAACATCAGTTAAATTTTAGATGTGTTGTTTTATCTTTTCGTTACCATCTATATATAAGCTTATAATGTATTTCCAGCATAGATATACAGTGAATATTACGAGATACTCTTTTAATACCCAATAATTATTCATTCATAGAAAATTTATGTAAGCAATTCAAGTTCCCATTTACATAAGGAAGAGGGTTTATTTCTTTCATGAGAAACCAATTATTAGAGAAAAAGTTTCAATATTTTAGACAGAACTTTTTTATTTTGAAAGGTAGCATATTTAAATAGGCCATCAATCCAGTAACCTGATATATACTCTGTAGCTTTTCATTCGCAAATACAGAAACATTTCTTTGTTCGATAGTGCTAATTTATTTTGAAGTTGTTGGGAAGACATAATTTTACCATTGACTAAAACATCTTTAATTTTTAAGATCCCTCTTGATAGCCATGAAGTCAAGTTTATGTCTTTGATATCATATAAAAGAATCTCAATTGGTGTTTCATAAGACTACTTGTCAAATAAGGAGCTTTTTTTTAATTTTTAATTTTAATATGGTCTTTTTTATGTCTTTTATAATTGTATTCATAAAATGGTGTATGGTGACAGGCATTATCATATGCAGATAATGAAATAATTTAAACATACAGTGTTCATGTCTCGCTCTGAGGTTATTGTAAGTACTAACGTATGAGGTCCAAAATTTCAAATTTATTTTGTGTCATGCTTTTGTGTGACACCTCACAATATAACTGCAATATGTTGAATAGAGTGCACATGTCACAAAAAGTGCAAAGTTTTTTTGCACATACCAGCATTTTTTAGTGCTTTGCACTTGTGCATATCTGAAATGCATTTGTTAGAACATCCTCTCACCTCAGTAAAAATGAGTTTTTGTAATGTTTTTACACAGCTTACAGGGTGCCTTTCAGTTCTAGGATGTGTCCATGGCAAAGCAACTGGTAATGCTTGTTGCCTCTTGTACAAAGCAATGCATTGATCCAATTTCTGTAAGGAACACTTAATGAAACATACATAATGTAATACTGTGTAAGTAGCAAATATGGACATGAACAGGCTCACTCTTTGCTGCTATCACATATCAATCGGTTCATGTCCATACTTTATCTACTAGCATTTATCAAGATGTAAAGATGCCTTCACTGCTGCTTGTATGTAGCTACATATACAGGCCCATTCTTTGCTGGTAGCATATACCAACATGCACAGGCATCATCACTGGTCTTGGTACATACTGTAGGAACATGCACAGACATACTCCTTGCTCCTATCACAAATCAATATTACACATTACACTTCAGGTATGCACCATTCTTTTGCCAGTAGCAAGTACCAAAATGCAGAGATACACCCAAATACCACGCTCTCATTCAACACTGAAACACTCAGAAATAAATAAATACATTTAAAATAAAATGTTGGTGTGACGGACTGCCTGTTACCCCGGCTGGGTACCTCTATCAAGCACGCTTCCTAGCTTTAACCAGGGCAGGCCCCAGTCGCCGCAGCTTGACTGGGGTCTATCTGGAACACTGGGACAATGCCCATCTAGGACAACAACAAGGAAAGGGGGGGAAGAAGACTAACTAACAAACAAATACATTGCACACCCCGTACACATTATGGGCACAGGGTGACTAAAACATAGAAGTAACCTGGGGACCTATAAAGTGTCCATAGACATCTTCCAGTGATGGTGACTACCGTCATAGTTGGCCATCCATAATATAATAAAAAAGGACAACTATTGGACTTCTAACCATTTCCTAACAAACAGAGAAGTTCTAACATAAAAATATGTGTCATTCAGCTCTGTATGAATTAGGTGAGTTCTTTATTATTAGTATTATTATTGTGTATCAAGCAGCAACAAATTCTGCAATGCTGTACAACAGGTGGACCAGCAGACAAGTATTTGCAACAAGACAAGTTGAATGCCAGAAATAGAGGGTACTAGGGGCCTGCTCAAATGAGTTTACATTCTGGTGGGGATGGGGTAAAGTGACACAAGAGTTAAGGGTAAATTGTAGTTCATGTATCAGAAAAATAGGTTGAGAAACAGCTTCTTTGAGTAACTTCTATTTCTCCACCCTGTCATATTCAGGGATGTCGATGGTATTAATAACTGGATTTAAGCTGTCAAACAGCCCTATTAATTTCTCTCATATCCCATCTGGTTCAATGTAAAGCTATGATGTGACTGTATAGGTGGCCCTCAACCCTCCCTTACAGACAACATATTAAAAGAAGAGGAGATACTAAGCCACATATACACTATGAGCTGAGGTCCTGATAATGTCACCCCCCATGCCACCTACGGAAGACAGAGCATTGTCCTCAACACCTCTTTTTAATTTAGCTGGGGATTCCCTGTTTACTTAATTCCAATAAATGAAACCAGTTTACTGTCTTACACCCTAAAATAAAATATTATGCCGAAACCCCAGTTCATATATATCAATTTACTTGAAACATCACATACTTTCAGGAGAATAATAGGGATAATATTGTGGCTCCCTCCCTATGGTTGGCACATAAAGCTGTTATTAAAAGAATTTTTATCAAAATTGGTTCTAATTGCAAAAAGAAAGTGTGTGCCGCCCGATTGTGGCTCCTCCAGGACTTGGCCCAGCTAGAAGCTCAAAATAAAAATGTACCTTCTAATTCATGCAGTAAACAAGTAAATGCTCTTAGAAAAGAACTAGAGCAGTTGGCTTTAATGGATACGGAGAGACAGATGAGGACTTTGAAACTGAAACACCATAGGCAGTATCTCACAAAAGTGAGTACACCCTTCACATTTTTGTAAATATATATCTTTTCATGTGACAACACTGAAGAAATGACACTTTGCTACAATGTAAATTAGTAAGTGTACAGCCTGTATAACAGTGTAAATTTGCTGTTGCCTCAAAATAACTCACCACACAGCCATTAATCTCTAAACTGTTGGCAACAAAAGTGAGTACAAAATGGAAGTTGAAATGTCCAAATTGGGCCCAATTAGCTATTTTTTCTATTAGCTATTTGGTGCTATCGCTCTCACACTCTCTCATATTGGTCACTGGAAGTTCAACATGGCACCTCATGGCAAAGAACTCTCGGGGGATCTGAAAAAAAGAATTGTTCCTCTACATAAAGATGGCCTAGGGTATAAGAAGATTGCCAAGACCCTAAAACTGAGCTGCAGCATGGTGGGCAAGACCATACAGCGGTTTCAAAGGAGAGGTTCCACTCAGAACAGGCCTCGCCATGGTCGACCAAAGAAGTTGAGTGCACGTACTCAGCGTCATATCCAGAGGTTGTCTTTGGGAAATAGACGTATGAGTGCTGCCAGCATTGCTGCAGAGGTTGAATGGGGTGGGGGATCAGCCTGTCAGTGCTCAGACCATACGCCGTACACTGCATCAAATTGGTCTGCATGGCTGTCGTCCCAAAAGGAAGCCTCTTCTAAAGATGATGCACAAGAAAGCCGGCAAACAGTTTGCTGAAGACAAGTAGATGAAGGACATGGATTACTGGAACTATGTCCTGTGGTCCGATGAGATCAAGATAAACTTATTTGGTTCAGATGGTGTCAAGCATGTGTGGTGGCAACCAGGTGAGGAGTACAAAGACAAGTGTTTCTTGCCTACAGTCAAGCATGGTGGTGGGAGTGTCATGGTCTGTGCCTGCATGAGTGCTGACAGCACTGGGGAGTTACAGTTTGTACTGCCAACATGTACTGTGACATACTGAAGCAGAGCATGATCCCCTTCCTTCAGAGACTGGGCAAAGAAGCTGAAGGTAAAGGTTATGGACTGGCCAAGCATGTCTCCAGACCTAAACCCTATAGAGCATCTGTGGGGCATCCTCAGACGGAAGTTTGTAGACC